TCCTAAACCATCAGCCATACCAATTCATACTCTACGCCAAAATTTGATGCAAACAAGTATTAAATACAATCTGTAATAAACAAATTTGCCACAGACCGGTTAGATTATATTATTCGGGTTGGAATCTCATATTTTGCCCTCTTACAAGAGCTCTGCGAAAGTTAGGGAATCCATTTCTCCTAAACCATCAGCCATAACAATTCATACTCTACGCGATACGTTACTGTAAACAAGTATTTAATAATATTTAAAAAAAAAAAAACTTTTTCCGCAACCAGGTTAGACATACCAATTTACACTACACCACAGGTGCAGACATACCAATTTATACTCTACGCCAAAATTTGATGTAAGAAGTATTAAATACAAACTGTAACAAAAACAAATTGTCGCGGACCAGATAGATTATATTACCAGGGTGCGAATTCCTGATTTCGCCCTCTTACAAGAGCTCTGCGAAAGTTATGAAGCCTGTTCCTCCTAAACTATCAACCATAATAATTCATACTCTACGCCAGAATTTGACGTGCACAAGTTCTTAATATAAAATGTTATAAAAAAAATTACCGTGGGCCGATTAGTTTCAATAAGGCGGGTTCGAATCCCAGAATGTTGCTCTACGGAACGTCCAGCACAAGTAAAGAAGACCATACTTCCTAAATTAGCAGCCATATTATTAATACTCTACACCAGAATTTGTCGCAAACAAGTACTAAATACAATCTGTAAACAAAAAAAAAAAAAAAAATAAAAATAAAAAAAAAATTGCTGCAGACCGGTTACATTCAATTACCCGAGTTCTAATCTCAGATTTTGCCGTCTTAGGAATCTCTGCGCAAGTTAAGAGACCGTTCCTCCTAAACCACCAGAAATAACAATTCATACTCTACATATAAAATTTGCCGCAATTAAATGCTTAATATAAACTGTAATAAAAAAATTGCCGCGGATCTGTGAGTTTCAATTACGATTCGAATCCCAGATTGTCCGTCTAAAGAACTTCCAGCGCAAATTAAAAAGACCGTACCTCCTAACTAAAGCATTAGTCATAACAATGCATACTCTACGCCCAAATTGGTCGTAAACAAGTACTTAATATAAGCTGTAAAAACAATATTAGCCGTGGACTAGTTATTGTCAATTACGCGGATTCGAAACCCACAATTGCCCCTCTGCAAATGTACGAATTGTAAGTCGCCGAACAAGTTTTGTAATTTTCGAGAATTCAGTGTGTTTAACGAAAATGAAATCTGAACCAATCATGCATGCATATGCATACATTTCAATTGTCAAAAACCCTCAGAAAGAACAGGAATATTCAGTTAGTAGTGCCCTTTATTAATCGCAAACGAGAAAACAAGACAGTAAATTGCGAATAAGTTTGCTTTGTATCGTCTTATTTCTTAGAACAAATTACAATAACTGTATTTTTTTCACAGTCTGTTCATCTCCTTGTCCATCTGTCCGTCCGTTTGTGAACATCGCTAGCGCCTAAATCATACGTAGAATTGATTCCAAAATGGGCCAGTTCTTCGAAAGATGAAAATATTTCAAATCGTGCGGCGGAAAAAGGCGAATTTTCGACACAAAAACTTGTATTGCCGGGCTTTGGTACGGAAAATTGGATAAATCCATTTGCTTAACATACAAAAAATATCCTCTAATACGTTGTGTACCAAAATCAATGTTTTGTGAGTCCTTGATACCGAAAACTCGATTGACAAGAAAACGTTTGTGTGTCCGACCGTCTGCTTGTCTGTGTGTGTGGCTCTCCGTCTGTTCGTCTCTTCGTCTGTCCGTCCGTCTGTGCCCTTAGCGCATAAACCGTTCAGCCGATTTTCTCTCGAATTGATATACCTCGTTTGTTCTTGCTGATGTCGCGTTACTTTACATAAAGCCCTTGGAACATTTTAAAATTTTCAAAAAATGGCTCCAATTTTTTGTTGTTGAATAGTAGTGCAAAGTACGTTCAAGAGAGTGGTGCAGATCCCATTTGCGTTAACATCCCCGATTTTTCGAAAATTGAAAAAAAAAAGCTTCAAAATTGGACAAAGACTTGTACAAAATTACCTCTTCAGAAAGGTTACGTACAATTTTTTTTAAAACAACTAGTTTTTCGTATTTGGCGATTAAAATTTACAAAAAAAATTGTAAATTTCTTCTTCACATTTTTTTAAAAATTTTCTCCACATATGTAATAAGGAACTGTAAGAATAGCTGTAGTCTCATTTTCGGGTATTGCTCGTTTTCTTTCAAAAATAGCAGAAACTATTTTTTCTTCAAATGAAATTTGCTGTCCGTAATCAGTTTCTTCAGTAAGGTCATGCACATTTTTTAAAAACTTTTAGTAGTTTTCGTGCAATTTTGCGTGGAATATGTATAATTTAAATAATGACAAAAACAAGATTTTCTCCAAACGGTTCTTTATAAATTTTGGTAGGCATAGTGCCTAATGTACTCTAAGACATGACATAAACGCCACAGTGCTCTATTCTTTTGATTTTTCAAAATATACAAAATGAATTCCTCTCACGTCGTTAATAATATTAGCGGCGACTTGTTCACATTATTGCATTTACGAGTACATATGATTCAAATAATGTCTTACATAGATTCTCGAATACGCAACAGTTTTCTGTGAAAATGAGATCAAAATACAAGATTTTCAGAAACGCTCAATTGCCACTTTCTCAAAAACGGCGGCATATGCTTTTAATACAGATTATATTAAGTACTTGTTTACGGCAAATGTCGGTTTGGAGAATCAATGGTTAAGGCTGATGGTTTAGGAGGAACGGTGCCTTGCCTTGGGCAAGGTGCTTTCCAAGACGTAAATTTTTCGCTTCCGAAACCAGTCATGAACACTATTAAGCCGGAAAAAATATTTTATTACAATTAAAATTGTTATATTAAGCACTTGTTTACGGCAAGTTTTGAGGTATAGTATTCATTGTTATGACTCATTATTTACGACGAGCAGACTTCTTAATGTGATCAGGCACTCTTTAGAAAAAATCTGAGATTCAAACCCTGGTAATTGAAGCTAACCGGATAGCAGTATATATGTTTCTTACAAATTATACATACCTGCGTAATATTGGCACCCGCGTAATTAATTCCAACCGGCCCTCGGCAATTTTTTCTTACATATTATATTAAGCACTTGTTTCGGGAAATTTAGACGTAGATTATTAAATGTTATTGCTGATGGTTTAGGAGAAATGAGCTTCTTAATTTGCGCATAACTTCTTAAGAGGGCGAAATCTGGGTTTACAACCTGGATAATATAATTTAACCGGTCCGCGGCAAATTTTTTGTTACAGATTTTATTTATTACTTGTGTGCCACAAATGTGGTCGTAGAGTATGAATTGTTATGAGTGATGGTTTAGGAGGGACGGGCTTCATGTTCAGGCCACTTACATGTTCAGAGCTCTCATAAGAGGGCGAAATCTGAGATTCGAACCTGGGTAATATAATCTAACCGGTCTGTGCTAAATGTTTTTGTTACAGATTTTATTTAGTACTTGTTTGCGTTAAATTGTGGCGTAGAGTATGAATGTTTATGGCTGATAGTTTAGGAGGATCGGGCTTCTTAAATTTCGCAGAGCTCTTGTAAGAAGGCGAAATCTGGGATTCGAACCCGGGTAATATAATCTAACCGGTCCGCGGGTTTTTTTGTTACAGTTTGTAATTAATACTTGCTTGCATCAAATTTTGGTGTAGATTATGAATTGTTATGGCTGCATGTTTAGGATGAATGGTCTTCTTTACTTGCGCAGGACGTTCCTTCGAGGGACAATATGGGATTCGAACCTGCGTAAAACGGGTCCGCGACAATTTTTTTATTACTGTTTATATTAATTGATTATTACGACAAATTTAGTCGTACAGTATGAAATGTTATGGCTGGTGGTTAGGAGGAACGGGCGTCTTTACATGTGCAGAGCTCTTGTAAGAGGGCAAAGTTTAGGATTCGAACTTGGGTAATTGAGTCGAAGTCCGAAGCAAACGTTTTGTTTAGAGATTATGTGTAGCACTGGTATACGGCAAAATTTGAGGTAGAGTATGAATTGTTACGGCTGATGAATTAGGGGACATCTCGTTTCTTCTTCGACGGCGTTTGTAAGAGGAACGTAGCTTTAATTTTTTTGTTAATATGTTTTAAAGAATGGAGATATCAGTTTGATTCATTCACTAATAGGTTATAAATAACAAGCGGCAAATTTGGGGTACAGTTTTTTGTATATACTTTCAATGTTACCGGATTTCGAGGTGTGGTCCTGCTAACTTCCATTGGAAGTTAGCATGAACACCGATTTTTTTTTTTTTTTGAGAAAATGACCCGCTGCAAAATTTTCTTTTCTACATCTTAAAAACGGCAAAAAAGCGGCAAATTCTGGACTATGCAATTTTGTGATTGGATGAAATGGTCCTGCTAACTTCCAAGACGTAAAAATAAGTTTAATCAAAAGAGTTGCGCAACAGCCTGAAGTGGTTACAACAGTGTCTCTTGTCCGGTTCTCCGGTTATCAATTCTAGCGAAACCTTATGTAGAAAACTGGAAATTAATAAGATTATTGCGCTCCACACGTCTCGGAGGTAATAAACGGGTATTTCTGTCCGAGTTGTTTACACCTTCAAGATAACTCTCTGTAAGTGTCTGATGCTGCCCCAGTTTCAGTAATCTTTCTTTTCATTAGCGTTGGCATTTGTGGAGCCCGCTCCTAAATATTCTTGAAAAATACAGATAACAAACATACCTATAGCAGCCGCTTTGGACGCAACCACAATTTAGATCATGTACTGAAGCAATATTTCTCTTGTGTATATGTTTAAGAAAATAACCATTTCTTCTCTTGTCTAATGCTTTACACGTGCGATTAACCAATATGTAGGTGTATTTATCATTACAAGAGATTTTCCTTCTGTGATAATCTGGGGGAAAAAACCCTGGGAGAAAGAATATTGTCGCCAAGGCGATTTCGCGCAGCGCTCGAAATGACATTGAACCCTCGGGGTACAGGGCTGGTGCGCAACGGATGGCCACTGTCCCCTCGGCTGAGACGCACTGGTGAAAACGCCTATGAGAAAAGCACATCCGACCACAGTGTCTGTAATAGAACAACAGTACTACGTATGACACTCCAAGCGCGTTTCTTATTGTTTAGCGTACAGTGTATATACTGTAGTGTTAGTATATATAGTAGTGTTTAAGTGCATTGAAGATGATTATTTCATTTCAGACAGAGACTGATGTTAATAAATATAATTTTTTGTGTTGTCCCCCGCTTTGATTCAGAGTCCAGAGTTCCAGACAGAATCCAGACAGTCTCACCTTTAAAGCAACGAGCGTATATCTAGATTGTAAGATTGGCTAAGATAGAAAACAAGATATATTTAGTCTCTCCCTCTCAATATCATGTAAGTCCAATATAAATAACTTTTGGAGATAAACGTTCACATCTTTTGCATTTGATGTTAATCGGAAAATAGATGTTTCGTTTCTTCCCCTCTTTGATTATAACTGGGCGGCTTGTGTGCTCAGAGGCGGGCAAGTGGTGGCGCCATGGACCCGCGCGGCGCGCGCGGCGCCGACCGCCCGCCCAACCCGCGCGCCCGCGCCTCCCCGCTGTCGGCGCTCACCTTCGGCTGGGTGCTGGGCACCTTCTGGCGCGGCTACCAGCGCGACCTCGAGGTGGACGACCTGACGCAGCCGCTCACCGAGCACCGCAGCGACCTCCTCGGCGACGTCTTCGAGAAGTGAGCGAACATCATCCCTCCTCATTGCGTCCAGAACCACTTCTTCACTTTGCGTTCAGTAGCATCACAGCGTATCGCTTTCAGTTAGCATCCCGGCGCTTTGCGTTCAATAGCATCCCGGCGCTTTGCGTCCAGAAACACTTCTTCCCTTTGCGTTCGGTAGCATCCCAGCGCTTTGCGTTCAGTAACATCACATCAATTTTTAAATATTAATTTTACGTGCTTGTAACTGTTGAATCGCCTTTATACCAAAATCTTTAAAGTTCATGAAATAGCGTTCCATTACTTGTTTTTCATTTCACATTTATCTTCATTCTTTCCTCATTCACTACGTATTCCCTGCACGCATCACTTCTAAACGCATCCCATCAAATCGAGTAGCTTTCTTTCCTGATATAAGTTTTCTTTCAGCTTTCGACAATTTTCTCTTTTTTCCTTTCTTAATACCCATTACATCGACTGTCAATATACACTATTTTCCATTTTTCCTCCTCGCCAATATTCTTTAACATCATATCATCTCTTCCCGCTTTCCCTCACAAAGTGCGGATCTTCGTCACATGTAGTCTGCCTCGCCCAAGCACAGCGTAGTGAGCGAGTGCGTTCGCTCAGGCGCTGGTCCGAGGAGACGCGGCGCGCGGCGCGGCGCGGGGGTGCGCGGCCCAGTCTGACGCGCGTGCTGGCGCGCGTGTTCGGCGTGCAGCTCGCGCTCTACGGCCTCGTCCTCGCCGCCATGGAGCTCGGCCTCAGGTGAGTGCCCCGCCTCTTATTGCTCTTTCTCGCGACGGCTCCGTCCTGGCCCTGCTGGAGGATTGGAAATGAGAGTCGCTCGACGCAGTGGCGGTTTCTAAGGAGAGCAAAGGAAAGGGAGAAAAGCCGTCCTCACATACATTCTTCTAAATGCAATTAAATTTAAATTAATTTTTAAAGGAATCTTGAAAATCGTTTACCAAAATTTATGATTTTTATGATTTAAAAAATGTTTGAGTTCATCGTTAAGAGGAATTTTCTTTGATCGAGTTTTAAACGACGCTCGCCTTTAAGCGACGCAAAAAGTGTGGGAATCGTTTCCAACAGAAACGTCAAGCCTTTCCCAATATCCCTTGTTAATCGTCCTTATCTCTTAGCTCTCTTTGGGCAGGATGAGGATCTTTTTTACAAAGAAGCCTTATGAGCAGAAAGGAGAAATTCCTCTTTTGATTTATGCCTATGTCTGTTTCAACTAGATAAACACCAGGGGGAATACATATGCGATAAGTCAAGGACCGACGCTGAGAAATCATCACCGCGGTCTGACGAAAGCCTTGGTTGAAGGGCCACCCCGAACAGAGGTGCTCTTATCCCATCGCAAATATACGAACGTAATTTAATTTGTGTGATTCATTTGAAGTAATGTTTGCTATTTCATTTCTTCTCGTAAGAAACATGAATGAGCCCCGAGTGGCTCGACGGTACCTACGTCGTTTCACTGAGATGAGCGCAGCTGCCTCTATCTTACAGATTCCTGGTCAGAGTTCGTGCATGTCTCACTGGTGCAAAGGCCCGTCTGCTTCCTTCGCAGAGTGGCGCAGCCCATCTTCCTTGGGCGACTGGTGCTGTCGTTCAGCAGCGAGTCGGAAGTGTCCCGCGACGCGGCCCTGGGGTACGCCGCGGGCGTGGTGTTGTGCTCTGTCGTCGACGTCTGCGTCACCCACCCTTACTTCATGGGACTCTCCCACATGGGCATGAAGATGCGCGTGGGCAGCTGCTCGCTGCTGTACCGCAAGGCTCTGCGCTTGAGCAAGACGGCGCTGGGAGACACGACGGCCGGGCAGGTGGTGAACCTGCTGGCCAACGACGTGGCGCGCTTCGACCTCGCGCTCAACTTCCTGCACCACCTTTGGGTGGGCCCCGTGGGGACGGCGCTCGTCACCTACATCATGTACTGCGAAGTGGGGGTCGCTGCGGTCGTTGGTGTCGTTACCGTTCTCCTCTTCATCCCGCTGCAAGGTAAGCTTGGTTGGTGCGTGTGCTCTAGCGGGTGATTGGGATAGCCGTTCTCTATGGTGTCTCAACAGAACCTGGAACATGGCTATTGGCTTACAGGGGATGATAGAATGTATGAGGTGGTGAAGGTGAAATGTAAAGCAAAGTGATTTGTATTCTATAACCAATCTTTACCGGTCTCTAAAGTAAAATGACTGCTGGAAATTCGTTCTAAAGTAGGAATTTTGTGTTTGAATCCCGCGCTTGGGAGAGATGTTTTCACTTTCACGGAAAATTGGTGACTACGAAGACAAAAACAAACTATCGTGCATCAACATATTTCATTACATATTTGCCGTAATTATTCAGTAATGTCTAGCTGAGGTTACATTAATAAGTCATCATCACTAATACCACCACCACCACCACCACCACCTCCAATATGTCACCATAAGATGGTCACAAAGTAATGATACCGTAGGTTCGTATGTATTCATTGCTCGATACTGGAAGGACTTTACTTCTGGATGTTCAATTTTGCTAAAATGAACCTTGCTTGTTTGTATAATGTGCTGCTGTAGCATCACTAAACTTTGTTCACCCTAAGCATGATCCTGATGCGAACATCCGCGACTACTAACCTCATTGGCCGATTGCTCTAGGCGCCACCTTAAAAGAACGCGTCTACACGAACTGTCAGAAGAATACGTGGCAACAGCAGTGTCGCCTGCGATAAGAATAAAGCTCCGATATCCTGCACTGACACACGCATCCCGTGTCACAATCGACACTCCTACTCATTGCAGACGCGCCCGGAAGGGGTTCAACACTAAAATCATTTATTTCCGTTGTAGTGGCAAGTTTTCTGTGTGTACTCTCTTCGTGTACTCATTACACTTTACGAGACTCCCGTGGTTCACGATGTGCGTTCGGCAATTCTTCAGTCACACGAGAAAACACTTAAAACTACATATTTTTCGACCTGTATTAATGAGTTACCTCTCATATGCTTTGTGAAACACGGATCTACCACAGCATCTGCCATTTTAAAATGATAGGGTAGGCACAAAAATTAAAATAATTAAAATATGCTACGACGATCTTGCCGCAGTAAGCGAGGACAACTGACTGCTGCTCTATTACTCAGGGAGTCCGATGAACGCTACATTTGGAACTTATGTTATGAGCTGTCAGCCGATGAAACTGTCAGCACCGGACGACGGGCATAAGGTTTGTTCGTCGCCATTGCTCAACGCCTTCGTCGTCGGCGTATTTCAGAACAGTGGCCCTATTCGGAGTATACAGTAACCGTTTTCTGGATTCTTTGATCGTTTTTCTGTCTCTCAAACTTTCCCGATCTCAATATCAATCTCAATCTCTTTCTTGTATTTTCAAACTTGCATTTAAACAATGAAATGTATAATTCCGACAAGAACTATTTTTAGAAGTGAAACGTTTCACATACACTCTCGCAAATGCAAGCAACCGATAAGAGGCTGCATTAAGCACGTGTATTTGTTTACATCTGGATCGTTCTAAGGCTGTACAGACCTTGGTTAAAGTTACTGGAAGGGAGTGAAACACATCGCTATGTGATGGATTCCGGACACATTTAGCTGAAAGAAATGGTTTTATCAATGAAAAGCAAGGGATCTACTCAGATGTATCAAGACGAATCTCCAAGAGATGAATGTAAAATATTTTCTTTTTTTAATAAATATTATTAATTATTATTTGTTGTTGTTAATTATTATTTGTTGTTGTTAATTATTATTTGTTGTTGTTGATTATTATTTGTTGTTATTAATTATTATTTAAAAGTCCCTTTTTTAATTTAAGACATTCGGTTTTGTTGTAAATAACCGTGATTTATTGTTTTAATTCATTACATATTGGAGTTGGCAGCGCTTCGGCTATCATCTTCCAGCAATCTTCAGACCTCTGGTTTAAAGGGAACCTGCTGCCATTAAACCAGAGGCCTGCAGATGATAGCCAGAACGTTGCCCAGTCCCCCTTGTAATGAACTGAAACAATAACTCGCGGTTACGCCCCGCAAAAGCTGAAAGTCTCGTGCGCGCGCGAGTGGCCAAACGGCGCCCGTTGCAGCGGCCCTGGGGAAGCGCGTGGCGGCGCTGCGCCTGCGCGCGGCGGGGCGCACGGACGCGCGCGTGCGCCTCATGGGCGAGATGGTGGGCGGCGTGCGCGCCATCAAGATGCACGCGTGGGAGCGGCCCTTCCAGGCGCTCGCGGCGGCGGCGCGCAGGTGCGTCCACTCGGCGCCTCGCGCTGCCTGCGCTTCCTGCGCTCCTCAGGTCGCCAGCGGAACTCCAGACGTGGAAGGGATTGTGAGCTGTTACTTTCCCCACATGACAGTGGGAAGATATAGTAGGTCGAATTTTCCATCGTTAAATACTTGGTGGAGGGGATTGTGAGCTGTTACTTTCCCCACACGACAGTGTTAAGATACAGTAGGTCGAATTTTCCATCGTTAAATACTTGGTGGAGGGGATTGTGAGCTGTTACTTTCCCCACATGATAGTGTTAAGATACAGTAGGTCGAATTTCCCATCGTTAAATACTTGGTGGAGGGGATTGTGAGCTGTTACTTTCTCTACATGACAGTGTGAAGATCTATTAGTGCTCGTCCAAAAAATGTTTTTTTTTGGTGCCGGTGGCGAGGAGATTACACGCAATTTTGTACCCCCTAATCGGTGTGTGTAATCGTATGTAATTTCAACGCCCGTGCACTTTTATAGAGTACAGTATTGTTATCCATTCTTTTCCATCTGTATTTGGAATTGAACTTGTACTCGTACGTGGATTAGGGTAGGGATTCCAAAGTTTAAGAAAATGTGTACAGAATAAACTTCTGCCCATACTACGTCACAGTTTTCAAGTGTTTTGTGTTAAAGTTAATAAAATAAAACGTGTTTAGTTATGTTAAAATAAAATAATACATGTTTATATAATGTAATGTATGTATGGTATTTATTATGAATGTATGTATATCACGTATCACTTAGAGTAGAATCTTTTGAGATGAAACCTCGTAAACACGTCAGGAATGAAAACTAGTTGTGCCGTTCTGAAAATCATTAAGCCATTTTTGATTTTGAAGTATTTTACATGAAACTGCAACGACATTTTCAAAATTTTCTGGATAATGGATGCAATTTTTTCCATAAAATTTTTTTGCACCAATTTTTTCACAAAAATCCTCTAAAATTACTCATTTAAACTCACCTCATTAAAAACTTTCAACATTTTGATAATTGCTAAAGTATAGATGCTGTACTGAGTAAAAGTTTGAGAAAATTTTGAAAATGTAGTTGAGGCTTCATGTAAATTTTTTTCCCAAATTAAAATATCAGTTTCAAAGTTGCAGGGTCTCGAGTTCTTTTAAATCGTCAGGGGAATATCAATTTTGGAGAAAAACGGCTGATTATTTAGGCGCTAGCGGTGACCACAGACTGACAGAGGTTTTGCCGTCAATCAATTTTTTGTTATCAAGGAGTCACAAAACATAGATTCTAACATAGAGGAAGTAATTTACTATTTATTGAAATACGTTTATCCTCTTTACGAGGCAATAAGAGTCTTTCAGTCTGAAATCAGCCGTTGTTCAGCGCCCGATGTTTCTCTTCTTACGAAGAGAGCAAAAGCGTTGGATGTGCAGCGAGTGAAATAGCTCTTCGCCGTGTTGTTTGTGTTCAGACGAGAACTGAAGTGCATCGAGTCGTCGTCGCACATTCGCGGCGTGACTCTCGGCTTCATGATGTACAACACGCGGATCTCAATTTTCGCGTCCGTGCTGGCGTACGTCTTCACCGGCGGCATCGTCACGCCCGAGAAGGTGAGGCCTCGCCTGCTTCTCTAGGCCGTAAGACACATTTCTTCTCTTTTTTAACTCGTTATTCTCTTTTTCCCTTCTCCCTCTCCTTCTCCTTTCCACCCTCTCCGTCTCCTGTCTTTCTCCTCTTCCACGTCTCTACTCCTACGACTTCGTCTCCCATTCCTCCCCTCTTCCTCCCATCTCCTTCTCATAAAGTTTCTTCTTCTTCTTCTTCTTCTCCTCCTCCTCTCTTACCTCTCACCGCTGCGTTTCATCTCCACCTTTTTTATTCTCTTTCTTCTCCTCCTGGTCATGTTTATTGATGCATCCCCTTGTCTGAGCACTTTGACCACTTTCGAGTAAGTATAGTTTACTAAAAACCCTGTACTTTCGCAAATAAAAATTCCCGATTTATTCCTGACCTCAATCATAAACTAATTTGCAAATACGAGCCTATGAGTATTTGTTTTAAATTTATTTTCAGAGAATTCTCGACCGTTATCTGTTGGCAGGTATTCCTGATCGTGGGATACTATAAGATTCTAGGCCAAACGATGGCGTATTTCTTCCCTGTAGGCCTAAATCAACTCGCAGAAGTGTTAGTGTCAATCAGACGCATAGAGGTAAGTAATTCACTATACATTCAAAGGAGGACTATTTTTACAGTTTTGTTTTTCAGTTTCTGTGAAAGTGTCGCTAGGACTGATGTTTTCGCCTCGGCCAGTGTCGCGCGGCGCCTTTGGATCTAACGCCTTTGGAACTCCGACATGAAGTGTAACTTCTGGACATAAAAGTAACTTATCTGTGCACGTCTTCTAGGATACTTCTATTGTAGGAATTATAATTCAAATTACCGCTCTCCATGTTGTCGCGGCACAAAGTATTATTCCTTGACGAAAGACATGATGAAGGATAAGAGACCAAATTTATAGCTGATTTACCTTGAAAGAGCGAATATTTTGTTAACAATCCTTGCAAAAACACTCATTTATTTATGTATTTGAAATTCATCTGGTATATGGCTTAGGGTAGGGATCACATAATTCTGAAATTGTGTACAGAATTCACTTCTCCGCGTAGCTTATCGTATACAGCTTTTAACTGTTTTTAACGTAAAATACATAAAACAAATAAAACATACAAAATTTGCTTCTTTACTCTTCATACTCCAAATCGGTATTTTGAGGATATTTGTTCGACAGGGGAGGAGGGTGATATGCACAGTTTTCCGCGAGCGAATTGAACGGAGAGTTCCAAGAAGCGCTGAGTTGCTAAAGTGGCTCTGTGAATCAATTGACGTCAATGCAGTGCTTCTGACCGGGACGTCCTAGAGTTCGAGTCCCGACAGTGGCAGGATTTTCTACACTTGGTACGTACAGGCACTGTCAGAAAGAATTTTAGCTGCTTGCTGCTCTGATCGGTAGTTTTGCGTGGTTTCTCCTATTAACACCAGGTAGTTACCGGAGGAGTACTCTAACGGACCACAGACCGCGCGTGATCTCTCCTTCCCCGTCGTACACCACGGACACGAATCTTGAATCGTAAACTGCTAAGAAGCTAGTAATTCGTCTGACGTAGATATTCCTGATTCCGATAACCATAGGGCACGCTGACACCATATCGTACCGTACTGAATCGAAAGCTGACCGCTTGTCTAGAAAACTCGGCGGCAATTCTACCGGCATACGAGATAATTATCAGATCTCGGATCTGAACCGCGTAATTTGTTGCGCGGAACTGAGGTAAGTTCGATGTACGAAGCTTTAATCGCCATATTTTCGGTTACAGGCGCTCCAGAATAAACCTAGATGCCCGAAAGACTTTGCAAGTAGCCTGAGGAGACTATTAGATTTATAACAGCTCGGAATAAATGAGTCCTTTCCCTGAAAAATTGGGCTTTAAACCATGCATGACGATACTGCTTTACCCCTTCCGGTGAAATGTACTAAAATTAGGGACACCTGCAAGAACTAAAGAACGCTGTCCCGGGAGCATCGAGAGAACGCGCAGCTGGAAGGAAGATCACCGGACCGCACACCTTGTGAGCTGGAGTGACTTCGCCGCGGCGGCGTTCAATAGTCATGGGAATTTGAAGGATTTCTTTCAGCGCATTGTGAGTGGCGCTCAAACTCGAGTCCAGTACCAATATTGAGAGCTGGTAATAAGCATTTGCCCAGCCGGCAGTGCATGTTCAAATAAATATATGTATGATTGTTTATGCGTGGAAGTCATCTCCGACTCAGAGATCTGTAGAGCCGAAGCAATAAGTTCAGTCCAAGCACGACATTACGCACCGGACATATGTGCTTTTAAGGTTTTGAAATCAATTGCAAGACGGATGATAACCTTCGAAGTAGGCACCCGTTATGTGTTAGATCTACGGGGCCAAGGTGTGGCCCCATTGTTACGGTTCTTCGCGTGGTATTGATCGCAGAAACCACACAAACTACCTTCCAGAGCAGCCGGCCGCTAGAATTCCAGCTTACTCAATGGCAGAATTCGTCCGTCCTATGAATCTAGTTGCGAATGAGCTGTCGGGTCTCAAATACTGGAACCACGGCGGAAGCACGGCAATGCTGCCATTGAGCAAACTTAGCATATCAAGGGATCATTTCTTCATCACATTCACTTGGCACTTCTGACGTCGTGACTTCGCGACAGTCTCCATCTTCCCGTAGCCTTCTTCAAGGATGCCATACGCAATGAAAGGCCGCTCGTGGCTGGTCCGTCATCCGGGCAATGAGGGGTAATGTTGCTGCAGAATTTCCTGCTGCACGAGGAGTCGCCGCGCTGCGCCGAGCGCAAGGCGGAGGCGGAGGCGGTGGCGGCGCCGCCCGCCTGGTCGGAGGAGATCGCGCTGATGGAGAAGGCTCCGGAGAAGCCGCCGTCCGCCAACAACGCCAACAACAACGCCGCCAACAACGCCAAGAACGCCTCCGCCCGCGCGTTCGTGGCGCACGCCGCCCCGGGCGTGGAGCTGAGCGACGCCAGCGCCAAGTGGTCGGGCGACGCCGCCGGGGAGGACACGCTGAGTCACGTGACGCTGAGCATCGGCGCCGCGCAGTGCGTGGCCGTCGTGGGGCAGGTGGGCGCCGGCAAGGTGAGTCTGCCTCCTCGGATTCCTTCGAGTGGGCACCAAAGGCTGTGTACTGACGACGATGCTCCGGGAGCTTAGACCTCCCGACCTCGCCTTCAGCCCTTCCCTGTCCCCAACGGATTAAGGTTGAAAGTGCAGAGAGCTGCCTCGAGAGAGCGTCAAAAGCCCTGTTGCTGTGCGCAGACGTCGCTGCTGCACGCGCTGCTCCGGGAGCTGCCGCTGCGAGCCTTCGGACGACTAACCCTTACCGAATGTCTTTGTCCTCCCGTCCTCGACTTTAGCCCTTCCCTGTCCCCAACGGATTGAGGTTGAGAGTGCAGAGGGCTGCGTCGAGAGAGCGTCAAAGGCCCTGTTGCTGTGCGCAGACGTCGCTGCTGCACGCGCTGCTGCGGGAGCTGCCGCTGCGCGCCGGGACGCTGGAGGTGCGGGGGCGAGTGTCGTACGCGTCGCAGGAGCCCTGGATGTTCGCGGGCTCCGTGCGGCAGAACATCCTCTTCGGGGAGCCCTTCGACCGCCACCGGTACAACCAGGTGAGTTGGCCACAGTGAATTTTTCAGTTTTTAATTCAATGGAGTAAACTGGCTTAATAGGGTGGCGTATGCCATATCTTCTTCAAAATGTCTGGCTTTCTGAAAACGTCAAATGTCCAAATTTGGTTCGAATGTGCCCTACTTCATTAACATTGCAATCAAAGATTTTTTTAGTAATGCAAATTATTAATATACATTAAAACTTTAAATATATGTATGTGTGTATGTATGTGTGTATGTATGTGTGTATGTATGTGTGTATGTATGTGTGTATGTATGTATGTATGCGGGCGTCTGTGTTCCGAACACATAAGGGTGCTGTCATCATTAGTCCCGTTAGTGTAGTGAATGTTTTATCGCTGGATGGGGAGAGCTCATTCCCCGTTGAACCTATACGTCGGGTGGGTGTTCTCCCTCCGCAGGTATCTCCTCCAGAAGTGCACATTCTCAAGCCTGGATAAGCCAAGCTTCCAACTGGTCACCGGCCCGAGCCTATCCCTGACGCGCGAGTCTAGAAGTACCCTCGACGACTGCGTTGTGTCGAGGAGAGGATGAACGACATTCAGCAGCAAGGCAGACGGCTTCGGAAGAGGAGTGTGGGATGGTTGGACGCCGTACAGCCATTGGCTCCGAAGCGCGTGACACAGGGGCAACGCGAATTATCTCCCGCATTCCGGCCTTCATTTGAGGCAGTGCGCGCAAACATACAAGGCGGCAGGGAGACAACTTCATCGCAGTATAGTAGGTTTGGTGATTTTAAGGCCATGAATGGAGATATTGAACGTCAGATTACAAAGCAATGTGAAGTTGCATATTTGCCGACTATCACGCTCCTAAGCGGTTTTTTAGTTAAGTGTAAATGCATACACTTCATTTGTACTTCCCGAAATTTCGAAAATTTTTGTTCTGCAAAAATGTATTTTTATCTAAATTAGTAATACAATTCTTCAAAAAATATTGTGATAAGATTTTATTTGAAAAAGTATGAGGCTTAAATCAATTACGAATAGAATGTTAAAAACAAGTTCTTCGTAGGAGTGTGGGTGTAGGAACTAATTTCCAAAATTTATTTTTAATCGTAATAATTAAACAAATGTACGTTATTTGACATTTTTACCGTCTCATCCGACTACATCATTTTTAAAGATAAATAATTGAATAAGGAATGAAATTTGATTTTTGTTTACACGTAAATTATTATTAACCATTAATAAAATAGCTTTGAAATATCAAAGCGTTTGTTGCGCCCAATTCGCAGCTTCCGTCAATGTCCACAATACACCTCAAACCATTCTTAAGGTCTCCAGCTTGCCTTTCGTCAAAAGATGCGCACCCTACCCAGTTCTCACTCTTCAGTAGGCATGTCAAACCGTGCCCGCACGAGCTACTTGTCCGCCTGAGAAATCCGCCACTCCTGCGAGCACGGGCAACTTCCCCTGACTCCGCTCGCATTTCCCCTCAAAATCTACAAAGGGGTGTTCAAGCGCAAGCTGAAGCAGCGCATGTACACCCCTGATATGATCCCCTCCTTCTGTACTGTATTATGCGGTTAATGTTAGACGTGTAATGAATTATTAATTCACCTCTACTGTTTGTTGCAGGTGCTGAGAGCATGTGCGTTGGACGTTGATCTAGAGAATCTGCCGTATAGCGATGAAACTATGGTTGGAGATCGTGGTATTTCCCTCTCAGGGGGGCAGCGTGCTCGCATCAATCTTGCCAGGTGAGTGGTCCCGCTTTGACTTAAGACGCAGTCTTAATATCAACTATTTCTTAAGACGCAGTCTTTCTTAGTACAATTGTGTAGAGGGGAAAATTCACCTCAATATAATCTGGAATTTCAGAAATGTAAAATTCGTGTTTAGGTTCTCTGGTTCTGTAATATCGCACACGTGAGGGTTAATTTTCAAGTCCGCTGTAGAGAAGGCGGTTAAATTGGTGAAGATGAATATTCGCGGAGTTTTGAAACCTCTATCGGTATGGGTGAATGCAACGCGCATCATTTTGTACATTGAGAAACTTTCAAGCATACATTTGGTTAATACGACAGAAGAAAGATCTAGTTGTGCCATTCTGCGGTTTATTGAGACAAGTTAAGTGTTGGATGTATATTGAGCTCCTGTTGTATTTCAAAATTTTCTGAAAAATGGTTCGTAATGTTTTCTTGACATTTGCGGACGAATACAGGAAAGCACTTTTGTAAATGAATCCTTTTTTTTCAAAAGGACATTACTCACATTTTTGTCGATTTTTCGTTTATTACTTTCTTGCTACTTCTTACACAGTAGAGAGAAAGTTTTGCAATGCTCCGCGAAAAAACGGCAAATTTTCGTCCGAAAATCTCTTATTACAGGCCCCTGATAACGAAAAAACGGATAAATCCAGTTGCTACTTTTAGAAAAATATCCTCTAACACGTGGTGTAGCCAGAAACCATGTTGTGTGGGTCCTTGATACCCAAAAAATTGATGATGGCAAAACGTCCGTCTGCCAGTCCATTTGTGATCAACGTTAGCTGCTAAACCTTTTTCTCCAAAATTAATATTCCTCAATCGATCTGGCTGATGTTGTGGCCCCTTGAATTTGAAACCGATATTTTAATCTTGGGAGGTACTTTACATAAAGCCCTTGGGACATTTGTCGTCACCCCCCCCCCCCCCAAGAAAAGAAAGAAAATGGCTCCATCGTTTTTGATTATTTTTTTGTTGGATAATATGAAGGACGTTTAGGGAATGGAATAGATATCATTTTCAGAAGGAAAACTAATTTTTTGAAAATTACAAAAATTCAAGATTTTTTTCGGCGTCTCCCTACAACTATAATTACGAAGATCGAGATTTTTACTCTTGATGAAATCTGTTCCTTAACGATAGATTTTGAAATATGGTCATGAACAATTTTTTTGAAAATTTGAGAGCGTTATTTTGCGTGACAGAGAAAAAGAGCTGTCAAACTACTTTAAATGAGAGTTTCTCATACCAGTGGGTCAGCAAATATTACATATACAAACTTACATTTCCTGAACAATAGTATGTCTCATTGTTATGCCGCCTATTTAATGATATAACTACTTGTGAAGCGTGTATCAGAGAAGGTTCGAAGACATGACAGAATCGTCATAGACTACGAAATTATTGTACTAATTTTGTAGAGTGGTGTACCAGTAAAATCGATCATTTCCATCTATATTCAGAATTCAACTTGCGTGTGGGTTAGGGTAGGATCCCAAAATTTAAGACGTGTTCATAATACACGTCTCATCATAGTACATATACGTAGTCACACACTAGTTTAACTGTTTTTGACTTTAAATAAATAAATAAATAAATAAATACATAAATAAATACATAAATAAATACATAAATAAATACATAAATAAATACATAAATAAATTCATAAATAAATACATAAATAAATTCATAAATAAATAAATTTAATTAATTCATTAATTAAATAAAATTCCCAGTCAATGTAATGTCAGACAAATCTTTGAGTGACGTCAAAAACTGATTGAAAGGTTACTGCAAGAAAACCGCTTTTTCTGAAGAGACGAAAGATTAATCTTTTTGTGAAAGAATGCACTTTTTAATCCGTACCGTCTACCACATTGTTTACCAGTGGCGGCTTCATGCTTGCGTTGCACGGCTGCTCAGTTCAGAAAATCAATAAATTTCTTATGTTAGTAATGTACATTTTGCATTTAACGTCATTCAATATTCGAGATATTGCTGCAATGTCGGTGTATAAAAAAGTCATTTTGTAATCAAAGAGCACCCATCAAACACCCTCACTGGCGTTTGGTGCGCTTTCAGGCACCGCACTGATTTCACGCTCTTAAGCTCTTATACTTCGTGTAACACTCGCTGCGCGTCCCTGTGCTTAAACATTGGGCCCCGTGCGCTTTCGCTCCGCGACGTTCGTAGACAGCGCCACCGGCTTCAACCGCTCTGCTGTTGAATATTTGTTCCCTGATCGTGTGCCGTTTATCAATTTTTTTTCTTTTTTTGCTTTACATTTCAAACGGCACGTTTTAAGAACGGTTGGAGGCATAGCTTTAACTGCTTTCCCTTTGGTCGTTGTCATTTTTGTCCTGTTTTCGGTCTGTGTTTTCTTTTGATCAACAGAGCAGAAATTACCGCGGCTTTTTGAGAAAAATTAAGAAGCGCCAAGTTTGAAAAGTATAATCCTTTCCCCTGAAACAACATCAAAGAACATTAAAAATGCCCTATAAAAAACAAGGCGCCAAATTTGAAGCAATTTGGCGGTCAATGAGCCAATAGCGCACAACTAATATTTGCCCAGATTGGAGTACGTTTCCCAATATTTGGTGCAGGCATTATTGTTTCCTGTTCATCACTTACATGCTAATTTCCAGTGCAATGCTTTGTGTTCTTCCTTCCTGTCTGAAGGTCTGAAAACTATCTTACCAACATTCGCATCTTATTTTCACTTGCCTCTCTGTTTCTTGTGTATTGTATTTATCAATGTCCCTATCATCAGAGGATGGCCATCATTATCTATTGCAGCCTCAATTTCATGGATTTCTGTAATCTACTCCTCATTTAGCTCAGATGTCACATGGGAAACGTGGCTTCTTACTCGTATGGGCAAGTTCCACTTCGAAAACCAATCAAATAACATTCGCATTGCAACACTACACACTACATGACAGTCAGACCAGTAATAACTTAACTTTCAACTTCAAATAACTCTCAGAAAAGTTACAATACTTCTTAGATGGTCGAAAATGGTATCATTGTGTCAAAGAAATTAAGTCTTAACGTACATTATTTTTCCATTATCAAGTCAGAATACATCATGACTTATGCCATGCTCCTCTTTAGTACTAGTAATTCAAGTTGATTTGTCCTCCTTTTCCTTGAATAGATATAAATGTACAGTTAGAACCAAACGACCTACGGTACGTTAAACCAACAGATTGAATTTCATTCCTTTGTTCAGACCATGGATTTATATAATTTTGACAATTTTCTGTATTTACGAGTATGTAAGACTGCGAGGGAAAACGAGTGTAAGTCAATATTTACAAAGAAATACATTTTTTTCATACTTAAATAAGGCATCATTATTTATGATATTTACTTCGTTTTGTGCAGAGCTGTGTATAAAGACGCTGATATCTACTTGCTCGATGATCCATTGTCAGCTGTGGATGCTCGTGTGAGCAAACATCTCGTTGCTGAATGCATCAAAGGATACCTTGCAGGCAAGGTGATAGTACTGGTTACACATCAATTGCAGCATCTTCAGGACGTAGACCACATTTATGTAATGTGCAACGTAAGTCAATTGATGTCAGTAATCATTGAAAAAAAAACAACAAATAACCTTACGTTAGAATCGCCTGGCTTGAATTAATGCATTGAACTAACTGCATAAGATTATTTCGTAACAGCTTAACGAGCACAACAGGCTGACTTCATTATTGCATGTGTCACTCACGAAAAGGCAAAATCCAATACCATATTGATATTGTTTTTGAATTAACGTATTGCTTTTTAACTTTTCTTTCGTGCTTCAACTTGCATCTAATGCATGTTGCATCTTTTTCATGACGGGCCTGAAAATTTGGAGCTATTTTACAGACATTTTTAAAATGTGAAAATTATATCAATGTATTACATAATTTTGACACATAATTTTGAAACATAATTTTGAAACAGAAAACTATATGAAAATTGTATTTGCCATATTATTCAGAGCTTTTAGCACTATTCATATATAAATTATAAAAAAAATTGAAACCATTGTTCAGAAAGTGTTAAAAATGTCCCTGGGGGTTCATAGCACCAAAATTTACACTTTTTTAAAAATCGCAGGGCTTCACAACATACCAGATTGACGGGGCAATATTCATTTTAGAATAAAAACCTTCGAAAAAACATTTTGGCGCTAGCGTTGATGATGAAAGGACTGACGACACGGCGAAAAAACAGCAATTTTCAAAATCACTTTTTAGGAATCAGGGGATAAGTGCACGTGTTTTTCCTTTTAAAATCAGGAAATCGACCGAGAGTAAAGTCAAAACTATTTTTGTCTGCAAGTCTGTACATCTATCCGTTCTGTCGGTCCGTCGCCTGTCTCTTCGCCGTCGGTCTATTCGTTCGTCGATTAGTGTTCTTATCTCTTTAGTCCGGGCTAGCTTTTCAGTTTTGCCCCATCCTCTTCCCTGCTGCTATCTACAGCTCATTTTTCACATTTTCTTAATTTCTCAGTCTCCTAATGGTAGTACTGAAATGTGATTTTAAAAATATAGAAGAGTAAAATGTGGTCCTGTATGTAAATTTCGTTTCAACCTTGTCAGCCTTTTTTGAGAAAATGTAGTTTGATTGATTCTAAAAATGTGGAATTTTGAGGTCATTATCACAGAAAAGTTTTGTTTTCGAGAAACAAGAGACATTAGATAAAGCATTTGTATTCACAAATGCAATAATGTATACAAATCGATGTTGATGTAAATAATGTGAGATACATAAAACTAGTGGTTCTATAACATCACATACTTTCTCGCATTTTCTAAATTTGCAATTTTCTAAAACTCAAGAGTTCAAGGAAAATTAGATCAGCATTACTCTTTTAAGCATTTCTTGTATTATTCGCTGGAAGGGTTGAAGAAAACATTTTGAAGCGATTTTTGATGGTTTTGATTGAAAATGTACTTTATATGAATTTCTCTAATTTCAAATAGAATTTGCGGCTCAAGGACTCGTTTAAAAATGTACATTACCTCTATCTTCAACTTCTATCGAAGTACAAAATATTTATCTTCAACTTTGTAGTTTTGATCTTTTTGCAATTTTTTAAAATATCGGGTGTTTGCCTCAAATAAAACTTGTACAATTTTTTTTACCATCCTTCGAAGAGCAATAATTAGAGAACATTAGAAGCATTTTTGAGAAAATAATTCTTTCAATTTTTTTTAAATTGCCTATATTCCACACAGAATTACGCAAAAAATACACATATTTTTGAAACTTTGTACACACCCCTATTTCACAATATCTTGAAGATAATTACTTTCCTACAACTTAATCACCAAATCTCCTTCTCCACACACGTGGTAAACGTCGTACGTTTTCAATTCGTCCATCTGTCGACGCCCTATGAGAATCGCCCTATGCTGCGAATTATGGTTCCCTCGAGTCAATATAGTGCTGCCCGCAAAATGGTTCCTTCAATTTCGCGCAGAGGTTGTAATCGCACGAACTCGTATGGGGTATGGTGGGTGATCCGTGGACGGCGGCGATGGTGTAACGGTTAGCGTACTGGATTGTTGTACCCAAGTTGGCGGGTTCAAACCCGATCGAAGCCGTGGCGAAAAAATCCTTCGTGCGCCTTTCTTCGGAGGGGAAGTACAGCCGGCTGTCCCATGTTCGTAGATTTACCTGCATGTAAAAGATCTTCAAGCCTAAATGACGCCTCTGAGCTAAATTCAAATCGCCTGTTTCTCGCCCAAGAAACCGCCTATGCCAGAACTTTCTTTTTTCGCGTTCTTTTGAGTGCAGAACAAATATGGTAAGGCATGAAGCAAAAATAGGTTACCTTGACTGACTGACTGGCTGTGAGGAACAGCATTATGTGGGATTGCCTCATAGATAATATAAACGTTACATTCACGCTTCTTTGTGTAGGTCGCACGTTATTTGAGAGAGAACCTGGATGTTTCCATTCATTGAATTGAAACTTCAACCGTGGTTAATATGACCATGCTGCATCCACAGGAAAGACCCTATCAAGAAAGCCTTCGCTTTCCCTCACGTCACAATGTTACGCACTGATTTAGTAATTTCTGTGCGAGTAACGATGATGCACCTCAGTAAATTGATGCGCTATCCAAAGCTTCATTGTTGAGTAATCCAGAAATGTGTAGAATGTGATGCACTATTTTGTGACACGGTTTTCGTCTGTTCTAAACAAGTTAGCTTTCCCTTCCATCGTCTGCTTCACTGCATTCACCCATTCACTCGTCTTCACCCATTCACTCGTCTCGCATAACACTATCAGCTACAAAACCCTCGTGGCGCTGCGACTCGCCATTATGAGGGGCTCTCGTGGCTCATGGCAAAAGTCGCTTGTCTTTCGCCATTGAGATTCCGGGTTCGGGTCCCGTAGAATCCCCGTACAACGTCATGCGACGTTTGTTACGACAAAACGAGATGCCTGCTTCACAGGAGCTAGTCCAACCCCCCTGTGAAGCGTCCTAAACCCTCCTTATTTCTTCCCAATTCTGGCCAATGGGTAGATACGAGCGCGAAGTCGCTACCTGTCGGCGACGCCCCGACTTGACTGTGACTGACGTGACTATGACTTCTCAGCGACCCTAGAGGGCGCTTGTTAACGGAGGATTCCTCCAATAATTGTAAATGTTAACAGAGGATTGCTCCATTGTGCGCTGAACGCTCCTTACGGAGCTAGGAGGCGCGTTGCGTCTATATAGACCCAACAAATTATAGAAAAAATGACGCGACGTTATAATTGCCAGCACTTTATTTTCAATGTATGTCTATATTGTATGATCTATTCAGGCCCTTAATCTTTTTTTAATAAGTATTTTGCTGTTACTGTTCTACATTAAGAAGTCAGCATGCGTCGTATAACAATCTTTAATACATTGACACACGTAATAAACTTTACAGATTCATTACAAAGGCTTTTCTCCAATAAAGCAAACAGATACGCTTTACCTAGAAACGGTTATGTCTCTTCTTTTGTTCTGTCTCGCGTACAACCAACAATTCCCTCCTTTTTACGCGAGATGAATATTTTTCTCTCTTCACGAGAAACATCTTCGGTTCTCAAATTCACGAGCGTGTGTCTGTCCAAAACGTGTGTTGATACATATTTCGTACATATATCTGCTAACATTTCCGAAGTCTTGCAATGTGGTAGTTTTATGTTTTGTTCTTCTATATCGCCCTTACGAAAGTTCAATTTTCTCAGCATATGTTTATTTCTAGCATTTACGCGGAAACTCTTAGTCCAATCAATGTCAGATTGACTATCTGTGTACACGTTAATAGGCTTCTTTACATCGAATCGTATTTCCGAAATGAGCGACTATCCACTTTTCTTCGCATATGGCCTCGCATAAAGCGATTAGTTCAGCTTCCATAGTTTCTTTCATTTTTACTCTTCCAGCTTATAATATTCGCACCGTACTTGATCACGTACCCACCATAAGATTTGCTATCTTTTGTGACGCTCCAGCTAGCATCTGAATAAACTTCTAATTTTCATTCGTTGTTACTTAGATGTAATTTAATACTTTTCGTTTTCTGAAGATATTTTAATATCCTCTTTAGTGCTTGGAGATAGTTTGACCGCGGACCAAGCGAAAACTTACTGTAGAAACTTGCTTAGAAAATTGCGAAAACTTACTGTAGCTGTATGCAATATCAGGTCTTGTAGCCGATACTGAGTATCCTATACATCCTAATATTTGCTGATAAATTACCGGATCTATTGTTTCAAAGTTCTCGTAGTCTTCTAACTTTGTTCCAATAACTCAGGGTGTGAATACCGGGTGACTTCCATTCATTCTAAATTTGTTCAAAATTTGTGATATGAATTCTTCTTCATATAAAATAAAATGTTCTGATTTCTTGATCCTTATTTCCAGGAATGTAACATTACTATCCTTGTCCATTCGTTTGATAGTAAGCATTTTAGTTAATTGTTTTATGAATTCTTCTACAATCAATCATTTTGCCATAAGATTAAGCAGTCGTCCACATGAAATGAAACGGCCAGGAATTGTGTTTTTTGATAGATAAATACACAAGGGTCGTTTGGACACGATTTGAGTCGGCATTACTCCAAAATATCGCACAATTTACCATACTAGCTGCGACCTTCTTCGGGCAAACCGTATAAACTCTTTTCGAGTTTCAATAAATTTCTTTTCGAAATCTTCGTTTTTATTCCTTGTGGCACGTTCATAGAGACGTCTCGTTTAAGATCCCCATTTAGGTATGCCGCCTCTGTATCCGCAAATTTTACAACACATCTGTTGAACGCTACAATCGACAATAATATTCGCATAGATAATTGCAAACGTAATTACAGGACTGAATGACTCTTCGAAAACTTCGCCTACTATTTGGGTAGAGTCATTAACCACTAAGCGAGCTTTGCATGTTACATTTCCAGAAATATCTTCTTTTTTTAATACCCATTTGCTATTGTAACGTATTAGCCAGCGTGCCTCATGGCATCTATTTGGGGACGCTTGGGAGAGGATTAGCCTAGCCACAGGAAGTAGGGTTTTTCCGTAAAGGGAAGAACGCGGAAACGGGAGACACAAGGCTTTGGGAGTATCCGGCCTATAGAAACTTTTCACTGTTATAACAAGCGAGGGGGTGGCGTGACGTAGTAGGTCACGTGGGCCTCGCCTATATAACAGAGTGTACAGAGCCAGTGGGTGGGTTCTGGAGACGGTGGGAGAACCTCGTGCGAGTGCACAAAACTTGGCGCCACGACGGTGCATATGCGAGCCAGGCTCGCGAGGCTGGAGTCATTAGTTGACGAAGCCTGCGGACTTTATGTCCTTGGGTGACTGCGGTCACGGGGGAGCGATGCTGTGTGCGTGCTCCGAGGTGAAGAGTGGTTGAGTGCCACGATTCACGCCGATTCTCAATCGGATAAGATCGCTCCTGCGATCGAGGCAAACCAGCCGTTGGTGCGCCAGAACGGACTTCGTGTCCCAGCGTGACATCCGGTCACGGAAGCTAGGCTTTGTGAGCGCTTCAAAAGTAGGAGTGCCGAATGCCACAATCAAAACCATCTTCAATCGGGTTTGGATCGCTCCCGCGATCAGGGAATAGTAGGTCTATCAGAGCTAGGGTGTAAGTAGATTATTAAGTGTATATATTTGTTTTGTTTTCTTGTTAATAAATATATTTGTTATATGAAAGCTCTGTGTCTGTGGTCGCTGTGAGTATCCATGACGTCACACTATTTAAAAATCTTCTGTTCGGTTCTACCCCTCCTCTAGCGGCATCATCTGTCGTGCGCGATTTGAGCGCGAATCCACGGCGACGAGCTATTCTCTACGGCGAGGTACCTCAAAATTTATCACTCAATGATTGCTGCATCTGTCGTAGTTGTTGGTCGGCCGTTTCGCGTGTCGTCGCCGCACTACCGCTGCCTTCACTGAAACGTTTTTGAAGTAAGGTCGCGTACGAGTTTCCGAAAGCTGAGTACTTTTCGCGAAATTTTACGTGATCATACGGGCGACAAAGTGCGTGCTCTTTTAGCACCACCAGTTGAAGCGAGTAGCACATGAAAGTAGCCAAGAACTCGATGCGATTTAACGAACTGATTGCCGTTATCCCGTTAAGGAGGGCATAAAGCGTCCGCTTTTCTTAAATTTTTGTTTTATGAACATTCCCAGTGTAACTATTGAAATGTGTATGTGATCAATAAAGACCAAAATTGACACTAATAAACGCGTTTGGTGCGTCTCGCCTCCTCCTCCTCCTCCTTGTCATCTTACCCCTTCTCCTCCTTCCTTTCTCTTTGTCCTCCTTCCGCTTCTCCTTTTCCCCCTCCCTCTTATCATTTCCCTCTTCTCCTTTCTTTCGTCTTCTTTTCCTCCACCTCCTTTTTCACCCCCTCCTCTTTTTCCTCCTTCCTCTTGTCCTTGTTCTCCTTTCTCTTCTTGTTCTCCTTCCTTTTTTCCTTCTCCTTGTCCTCCTTCCTTTTCTCCCCATTGTTCTCTTCTTTCTTCTCATGCATCTTGTGTTAAATTCCATTTCTGAAATAGCAACCAGGAGAGATGGCTTATCAACTGATGTCACTGCAGACCCTCTGACCTAGGTTTGATTACCAAAAGTATCAGAATTTTCGACACTCGCTTGTTAGCTACGTCGAATTCAGTCGCTGTCTGGAGGAGAATTCTAGCGGCCGGCAGCTCTGATCGATAGTTTTCCGTGGTTTCTCCGATCAACACCAGGCGAATGCTGGAGCAATACCCCAACAAACGGTCCACGGACCGCGCGCGATCTCACCTTCCTCTTCCTTGTCCTACCCTCTCCCGTTACACTAAAACTTACACTAACGTGCACTACACTACTACACATGCCGGGAGACTCGTCAGGAGATAAGAGCTTGTCCCGGCTGGGGCGGTGCCCCGCTGGTAGGAGATACCTTGGCAGGAAAACCCCACTAACTGACGGTAGGTCGGTGCCGGATCTCGCCATACAGCGGAAAAATATCACCGCCATCTCAGCAAAAACATGGATTACTCTTATGGGACTAATGACTAGTAGTTTAGGTGCTCGGAATCACCAATCAATAAATCAATCAATAAACCAATCAATAAACCAATCAATAAACCAATCAATAAACCAATCAATAAACCAATCAATAAACCAACCAATAAACCAACCAATAAACCAATCAATAAACCAATCAATAAACCAATCAATAAACCAATCAATAAACCAATCAATCAATCAATCAATCAATCAATGAAATAACAGCTTTCACATTACACCCCTGCCACCTGTGTTCTGGGAACTTGTCATCGACCCGTGTAGCATGCCGCGTGCGATATCTGAAAGTAGTTCGCGAGCCCCGTCCCTCCTCAGCCCTGATCCCTCCTCAAGGCTTCAAAAAGTTTGTCATATTAATGCTCCCTCGACATCCCGCTACCTCCTCTCTGGAAGCCTACAGTTACTTCTTTTCCATTTTGGCGCCTGACTAGCATCAAGGAGTTTACCAAGTCTGCAGTAGACGCGCAGATCACTAGTATTTGATTTACAGCTAATACAAGAACTTTGTGATAATATTATGGCTCATGGTATTAATTATACAAATCAAACATACGCTATTACATGTAATAAAGTATATTTAAGCAACGAAATGATTGTTGTTCGCAAACATTCTATTGCAGGAACAAACATTTATCTCGGGAGGGGAAATCATATCACACTTCGTTGTCGGAAAGGTCGTGGCTGTATTACATTAATCACCCCTCAGCCCTAACACACACACTTGTTATTTCAGCCAATAGCTTTCAAGACCTATAGCTCTACAAACCAATCAGAAATGAATTTGCCAATCAAATGTATCTTTTACAACCAATCATTGCCATCTGAGAAGTGATAAGTATTGTAACTTTTTTGTTTTCAAACATACAAGAACGTATTTTGCTGTTTACGAAGACCATTTCGTGAAAAAAAGTGAATTTTCCTTCGACTCTTCGTTTTCTTCTCGTTCTCCTCTTCATTCCCCTCCCCTTCTCATCTTCTTTGTTCTCCCATCTTCTTCTTGACCTCCTTTGTTCTCTCCCTCCTTCTTGTCATCTCCTGTACCTTCTTCTTTCTTCTCCTTCATCTTTTCTGAAATTTCACTTATGAAAGAGTTTCAGTGAACATCACGCATTTTTGGAAATATTCACGTTTATTACTAGACTCCACGACTCCTTGCAACTCCAGAACTTATCAATTATTTCCAATACACATCTAGGATTACATACGATAATATTTTAGCTCCTTCCACAGCTCTCTTCTTATGGTTTCTTTAGTTCAAAAAGGATTTGGAATAGTATCTTTACCCCTCAGATTTTGACTAATTTAATCAAAATATGTTTTAGTTTTGTTATAATTTTGTTGTTATTTACTCAGGGTTCAGTATTGCTGGAAGGTACATTTGCTGAACTTCAAGAATCAGAAACTGGTCTTCTACAGTTCATGGAGACTGACACAAATGCTGCAGACGGAGACAAAATGAAAGAAAATTCTCCAGCACCTGAGCCTGCTTCTCAAACTGTAAGCATTTGTACTTTTTATCTGGGTGTTTTTCTTAAGCCATTAGAAATTATTCTGAATATAATAATTTTCCCTTTCTCTCTCTTTTTAAATATGAAATACATTCTATATGATTCAATCTACCTCTGTTTTGCAGCCGTAGAAAACTCAATCTCAATCAAAATTCGATCTACAGCAATAGGTAGTAATATTTCCTAGCGACTAGAAAATGTTGAGTCTAGAGGACCGAAGACATTTATATAATGGTGGATCTGCATTTCCATCTGTTGGGTGCAGTTTGCTTAAACTGTGTTGGATTTTCATTGTTAGTGAAAACATGGGTTGTTGTTGAATAGCGTGTTGATGTTGAGTAGCATTTTACGTAGCGATTTTCTGCTCGTCAACTCAAGTAGTATAATAAAGACAGAGGAGATTTTCTCCATTTTGGAAAAATCAAATTTAAAAAGAATAGTTTTCACTCCTAATATTCTACGTTTTGTAATGTGTTTTAAGTTGTGAACATAAATTTATGTTATTTAAGTTGTTATAAGTTGTAATGACTGAGATAAAAGGAAGAAATCAGGAAAGAAATTGGGGTATTATAATACTATGTGTGTCCGCTAGTGGGTCTGTTTGTCTGTCTGCCAGCTCAGGAAATATATTGAGATACTAATTTTATTTCAACATACTTCTAAAAATTACTTTTATTTTTCTGATCTAATAGGCACTCTTCTGTTAATTTTATAAACTTTTTTGAAATTATTCTATCAGATAGCTTGTCTGTCTGCTCTTCTGATTGTGACTATCTCCCTGAAAAAGAAGCTTATAAACATTTTATTCTCTTCATCTAAATACTTAGTTAATAATTGCGAATGTATTCATGTTTCTTCATGTTAAACTGTTTTCAAATGTCCAATTCACGTAAATAATATTGCTAAAACATCAGCTTGTTATCTCAGTCAAACGGCTAAGGATGACCTCAATTATATAAATTGAAAACATTCAACATGGTATTTTAAGAATGTTCAATATCATAGGCTATTTAATTTAAGTATTTGTTAGTGTCATACATATAACATGGTTTTAAAGTCTGAGTAAAAACAACTCTATTTCAAATGGAGAAGAAACTATAGTACAGCTTTTGCATAGTTTTAGTAAGAATGTTTGTTTTCAGCACATGTCCAAAGATAAGTCAACAAAAGTTCCATCAGAGGAAAAGGAAGCTCAGACCCTTGGAGTTGTTGCTGGCCAAGTATATACTGGCTATTTCGCTGCAGGTGGCAATTGGTGTGTCATTTCTACATTATTCTTGCTGTTTATTGCCACTCAAGTAGCTGCTAGTGGAGCTGATTATTGGATAACATATTGGTAAGATGATCCATATTAACTATGTAATCATGGGGCAGGACCACGCGGATATAGTACTGGATAACTAATGAAGATCTGCCACCCAATTCATTTTTTTAGGGATCGGATAGGGAGATCATACTCCTCCTTTGCCATTCAGATTTCATTGGCCAGCCATTGAAGTCTTTGGTCCTTTTCACCTGTAACCCTGGGCAGAGACCCTTGCTGGATGCTGACAGCCAAGCTGACTCCCCCCCCCCCCTTTTTCTAAGCTAGTATTTTTTTAATGAACCCAAAGAAATAGATAACCTCCTCATACTTAGAAAAGGAGTGATGTCATTTCCCCTGAAACAATCATGAGATTATAAAATATTTACACTAATAAAGTGTTTACTCTTATTCATTAGTGATAAAGTAATTTGTTCTGGATTGTACATTTTAAAAAATAAAAAAAGGTCTTTAAATTAGTAACTAAAAAGGCAAGTTTTACTCTTTTAGTCAGCAATTTGAAAAAACAAGATGAAATATATTCAAAAGAACTTCACCAAATCTTTTGGCATGATAAAGTGGATATAGGTATCATTGTTAACTCTCTGCTCTTTGTTTGTAGGGCTAAAGCAGAGGAACATTTTCACTTGAATCACACAATGTCTTCAAATTCCAAATTTGAAAACTCTACCATTCCCGTTGATATAATAAATTATGAAGATGAGATTCTATCCAGAGAAGACTACATTTTCATATACGCAAGCATCATTGCAGCAGTAGTTATTTTGTCCTTGGTTCGTTCTTTTGTTTTCTTCAGAGTTTGCATTCGTGCTTCTCAATACTTGCATAATGTAATGTTCCGCTGTGTAACACATGCGAAAATGATCTTCTTCAATGCAAATCCATCAGGTAAGATTATTTGCTTACATCCTCAAGTGCTTTTTGTTAAAAAAATTTTGTTGTTATAAGAGAAAATATGCAAGAAAAGAATTTAAAAATAATGGTGGCCAGTTGTACAAGCGGCACCCTGGAAAATGGAATAATAGGGATTTACAATTTTAAAAGGATAGTAAATTTTTCTCATTCTTTTATAGATCATAGAAATTGTTTGTTTTAGAATGGTCATTTTTAAAAATTTCATGCTATTTTAAATTGATTGGTTGAGAGCTATTATCTTTCTTTTGTACTGGTATCCTTAGAATTGAATTTTGTTTTCAATTTGTTGTTTCAACCATTGAAGATTTATACTTACCATGAGTAAAAAAAGTAGAGAAAAACATGCAAATGTTCATGAAATTGTCATTAATCTGTATAACAGACATTGCTTCTTTACCCAGATAAAATCTGATATGGCCCTAACTTTCATATTGCATGCAAACTGTATTTAAAACTACATTTTTAAAATACTTTTACTTAAAGTATAAAAATGCTCTTTGGAAATATTACAGAGCTGGCCAAGTTATTAGACTAGAGTTATTGAATAAGACAAAATGTATTTGCGACTGTAGATATTATTCTAATGTTTTACAAACCTTTCATAATTAACATAGGTTCTGAGGTATGTTGAAAATGAGTTTTTAATAAATTCTTTCAATTTGAGAGATGCGAATGAATTGTTTTATGAGCTGGTTTTTGTGGCCTTCTTAAGTTTCTTTGAACTATCAAACAAACATTTTCGATGGGATTCATGTCGGGGCTATTTGCATCTCATCGGAACTTAGACTGATCAATGTCTTTAAGATGTTTTCCAACTATCTTTCCCGTCCTGGTAGGGAGTGTAGTCCATTGTCATGTTTTTTTTCCAAACAACTCATTTATGTGAGGTAACTATTGGTTCTTTAGGGCCTCTAAGTATTAGTCGTGCCTCATTGTACCATTAACTGTGTGTACATTTCCAATAACATTAATAAAACTTACCCTTCAAACAGTTCTTTTGTCAAGTGCTTCTCAGGACTCATCTAATCCTTTAAGTCAGAGAAAAAAAGTTTTATCCAATAATTTGGTCATTTCTGCATATAACAGTGCCAGAGCAAGTCAAATATGTTTCTGAAACAATATGTTCTTTTTATATGAAAATTGAATATAATGAAGTAGAAGGATTAAACTGTTAAAAAAGCAGTAAATAATATAGTGAAATGAGTTGTGGATTGTTTCTTTTGTGACTGTTTATTATCTTCAATTACATTAATATCATTAGAAACAAGTCTCTCTGATAAATTTAAATTATTATAATTGTTTATGTATATTTTCAGGAAGAATTCTGAATCGTTTTTCAAAAGACATGGGTGCTGTGGACGAAATATTGCCTCAGTGCATGATGGACACATTCCAGATTGGTCTAGCACTACTAGGCATAGTTGTTGTTGTGGTAGTAGTCAACTACTGGCTTATCATTCCCACTGTGATTATGGGTATTATGTTCTACCTGATGCGACAGTTCTATCTTGCAACTTCAAGAAGTGTGAAACGTCTTGAAGGAATCGGTTAGTATACTTTGTCTCTATAAACAAAAAGGTTTGAGTCATATATTGTATGAGAATGTAGTAAAATGCCAGAATATTAACAATTTTTAATTTAAATGTTTGAAAAACTATTTGAGTCAATGAAAATAATAAATTTTTAGATGTGCAATTTTCAGGAAATTAAAATGTTGCCTTTGCAGCTCGCAGTCCTGTCTTTTCTCACTTGACTGCTTCCTTACAAGGCCTTACTACCATTCGAGCATGCAGAGCAGAAGACACTCTTATCAAGGAATTTGATAATCATCAGGTAAATGTCATGGAGGCTATTGCTCTGAGGACATTGACTTTATCAAAAAAGGTTTAATCTTTATGGAATTGTGATGATTCTTTGTTTTAATAGGATCTTCATTCATCTGCCTCGTATATGTTTATTGCCCTGTCACGTGCCTTTGGTTTTTGGCTAGATTTCATTTGTGCAGCTTACATCACAGTTGTAACTTTCAGTTTCTTTGTGATGGGGACAGGTAGGTGATTAAATTAATTATTGGATTCTGCATCAATATTTCTATTAAAATTTTCAATGAAAATATGTGCATCATGACAAAATATATTTTCCTAAAAATCTATGAATTTATATTGATGTACTGGTACTATGAAGTACTGTGATATCATTTGTTTCATAATAAGTAATGTCACTATTCCTTTCAGGGAAGCTGATAGTAAAATTAATTAATGGTTAATATGGAGATATCAGATCTTGTTGGAACAGGCATCCTAATCTATGATGGATGATAATGCAAATGATGATGATAATTTCTGTACTCAAAATTCACCCCAGTTTTCTAATTCTTCACGTTCAGATCTTAAAGTTCTTTACAAAATGTTCAGTTTTTCATAAGTGTTTAAAATATTAATAAAATTACCTTTATATCTCTTTTCTTTAGATGTTTTCGGTGGCAATGTGGGATTGGCAATTACCCAGGCTATTGCTCTGACCAGTATGTTTCAATGGGGGATGCGACAGTCTGCTGAAATGGAAAATCAGATGACTGCTGTGGAACGAATTATGGAGTACTCTAATTTGGAACAAGAACCTCCACTTGAATCACCTCCAGGTAGGTTTCATTTGACATGATAATTTTAACTAATCTAAAACTAATGTATTTTTCATGAATGCAGTTCAGGCAAGGTATGACATGTGATGTTCTGCAAACCAATTTATATTCCTCTACATTCAATTTTGTAGGAGAAGGTCCTCCATCTGATTGGCCAAGTAAAGGCTGTGTTGTTTTCAAGGATGTGTCATTGAAATATAATCCTTCTGAAGCAGCTATATTGAAGAATCTCAACTTCCAAATTTTGCCAGGAGAGAAGGTAAGAGCACATTTTTTTATTCTATTTGCAAGCAATAAATGTTATTTTTCACACAATATTGTATTAATTTGTACAACAGTTACAAATATTTGAGGTACTTGGGATTTCATAATGGTAAGCCACTCAACAAGCAAACTTGTCTTCTTTATCTTTGTGGTTCCTGTTAGAGGTTGACAAGCAAAGTAGTGAAAACAGGGATGTGAGCAGTATTTTTTATTTTGAAACTAATGAACATGCTTGACGCACCTGATTTAGAAAATTCTTTGATCATTCAAAATGCTTTTTCTGTAAAAGTCACTTGGAGGTACTGTAAAACGAGGTGAATAGGATCAAATCTGGCAAAAAACTTCGAAAGCGTAAAATTACGCCTAGTAGAAATAAAAGTGGCAAAACAGAGCACCAATCGCCAGTCCCGCCCTTGTGGAGTGCACCGAGGGCCATTTTGTGTTACAATTGTGGTGACCTTGACTTCCAGCATGTTGACATCCCATGTTTACAAAGGTTTCAAAACTTTGTTCACATCATATGTGGAGTGTGCACTTGATTTCTCTATTACCAAAGAACGTGCTTCAACTGAGAATTTTAGCCTAAATTCAGTCGCTCATCCAATTTTGGTAACAGCTCAATAAATGTCTCGATATTAATATTTTTTATTTTAATGAACACACTTTCTAAAGATATGGTGTTAATGGCATCAGAGGGAAATGACTATAATATGACTTGCAGATGTTTCAGTTATACTTCCTAACTGTTGTGTATTTGAATTGTTTGTTTGTTTGTTTGTTTAAACTTACAGGATAGTTAAAATGCCTTGAAATTATATCCCTGACCTTTGTGGGAAAGCCTACGAAAAGAGGAACAAGGATGAATTCGAGCAAGCCATTGCTGCTGTGAAGACAGGGTGCAGCATTAGACAAATTGCCAGGAATTTCAACATTCCCTACACAGTTTTACATAGACACTTAAAAAAACGATTTGCTTCCCCAAGGGAGCAAACTTCACTCTCCACAGACGGAGAGGCATTAATTGTTGACAGGCTTGTCATTTGTGCTGACTGGGGCTATTCCTTTGATTGCTTGACTTTGCGTTTGTTTGTCAAAGGATATCTCGATTAAAAAGGTAAAATAGTGAAAAAATTCAAAAAAATTTACCAGGTCACGAATTCACTGATAGTTTTATGAAGAGACATAAAGAAAAGTTTGAGACTTTGCCAAAATATGAAAAGAGCATGTGCTTGTGTTTTGAGAGCTGTCTTTTGAGACTATTTTAAATATTTAGAGAAGGGAATCAAAGAAGTTCCCCCCCGTAATGTGGTGAGTTTTGATGAAACCACCTTGGCAGATGGTCCAGGGTGTGTGAAAGTCATCACAAAAAGGGGATCAAAATATCCCAAGAGAGTCATGAACACATCCAAAGCAGTAATGTACGTAATGTTTGCTGCAGCAGCAAATTGAACACTCTTGCCTTTGTATGTTATTTACTGGTCTAAGCATTTGTATGCCACTTGGATGGAGTGTGCCCCCAAGGGCACACGACTTAATAGAAGTGAAAGTGGGTGGTTTGACTCTCAATGTTTTGATGACTGGATTACCACCATTATTTTGCCTTACTTCAAAATTTAGAAGATCCCAAAATCTTAATCGGCGACAACCTTTCCACACATTTATCAGTAAAAGCATGTGAAGAAAATGGTATAAGGATGATATTTTTACCAAAGAACTTGACCCATCTCACTCAGCCTCTTGATGTTGCAATTTTTCCGCCATTAAAGGCCTGTTGGCGTAATATTTTACAGAAGTGGAAGATGGGCCCTGGTTATAAGGAGACCACTGTTCCCAAGGACAAGTTTCCAAGATTGTTGAACTCTCTTGTGATGGCACCAGCAGTAAATGCTGAGAGCAACATTAAGGCTGGATTTGAAAAATGTGGTATCATATCATTCAATCCAAATACAGTAATAAGCAAGGTCCCTGGTGTTGAGAGTTATGAAGGACCCACAAATGTAGGGGATGTTGATCAAGCTCTAATCCATCTGTTGCAAGAGTTGAGAAGGAGCGATAAAATGCCTGTGAGACAACAGCGATCTAGGGTTCCTCTTCATGCCGAAGAAAGTGTTTCTTTAGAAGATTTCCCCAAAATTGATGAAAAAGAATCTGATGAAGATCATGATCAAAACTCACCATTGCCTTCCAGCAATAATTCTTGACTGCAGGAGAGCGCAGCTGCCAGCACAAGCAACATTACAGAATCTGAGAAGTTTGTCCCTTATGAACTGCATCCTGCTGACTTTGTCATAGTTAAATTTGAAACTAACAAGCGAAACGGGAGATTCATAAGAAAAATTGTCACCGCCTCTAAATCCCTACTAACAGTGAAGTGCCTCCAAGAGGGTTGGAAAGAAAACAACTGTGTTTTGTTTACCCAGATGTAGATGATATATGTGAAGTGGCTCCTGTTCAAGTCGAGGGGAGAATGAGTCTCCAAAATTCAAAAGGGACAACACACATTTTTTGTTGACAATTTGCACTTAGAATAAGTTGTATGATTTTGCCTGCGTATTTTTTACGTCAATTTTGTAACTTTTTATACATAAAATAATTGCAGTAGTATATGTATTTCAGTTTCCTATTATGAAAACATTTTTTTTTTTTTTAAATTAAGTGATCCTATTCACCCAATGAGCGTTTCAATGCGTTAAGAAATGAAAATTACATGGTTGATCCTATTCACCCCGACCATCATACCAATAGAATCGAAGTATTTAACATAATCATAATAATTTCCTTTTAACAATTTACAGTAAATAAGAAATAGGATTCAAAACTACTGATCTAAACCCATAAAATAGATTTTAATTTATCACTTTACCACAATTGGTTTAGGAGATACAGGTCTTTGTGCAAGAAAAGTGATCCTATTCACCCCGTTTTACGGTAGCTTACAATGTAATCCCAAGTGCCTCAATTATATAAATTTAAATGAATTGTCTAAAGATTAATTTCTTTATTGTTTACCGTTTCAAAATTTTGAAGTACTATTTGTATAGTAGAAGGTACATATCTAAACTATTTGAATTCTCTCTTTCTATTGTTACCAGAAGATCTGTGCTTTCTTTACAATCATGATCTCATGAATTGACCTTTTTTGATTTTAGGTTGGCATTGTTGGTCGAACTGGAGCAGGCAAATCTTCTCTTATTAGTGCCTTGTTCAGGTTAGCAGAGTTGGAAGGTACCATTTTGTTGGATAATATAGACACAAGCAGTGTTGGTAAGTAAAATAGAAAAATCAACCTTGTGATTGTCAACTTTGACAAACATTAACTCTAGATTATTTGCAAATGCAATGTTAGATTTTCAACAAAATACAGAATAGCTGTTCTTGTCTTGTCTGAAACTTAATATTTAATTGCATATCTCCTTGTTACTGTACATATGTTAAATTTGAACATTCTGAATTTTTCTTAAAATCTAACAGTACACTTTGATATTATTTCTACTTCTTCCATTTTCATTAGCATTTTCCTTGAAATACATTAAAACAAAAGTTATACAAGCTTAAACCAACATTATTAAAAATTTTCATCAGGAGAGAACTTTCTGAGTTGACTATGCATTTCTAAGCTTCTTAACATACATGAATGTATTAATTAATTTCAGTGATTGGTCATTTGGGGTATTTGTTTCCAAGCACATGGGAAAAATTAATTATGTTAGGAATCTATTGACATGGATTGGACTATACATATTTAGTGTTTCTTCAGGACTTCATGATTTGCGTCACAAAATCTCCATCATTCCTCAAGAGCCTGTCCTATTCACTGGAACCCTTCGTAAAAACTTAGACCCATTTGATGAATTTGATGATATGGCTCTTCTATGTGCCCTTGATGAGGTAAGAAACAAATAAAATGAAATTTTAATAATAATAATTATTTTTATCATCCATAAATGCAGCATAGCATTATCATAGAAAAATAATATTTAGAAATTCTGAAAGTTGATTTGACAACTGATTACTCTAATTGCTTTAAAAAGTAGTAACATAACTTTAAAAAGTATAAGTATTAAACTGAGTTATTAACAGGACTAGAATTTTTATGAAATAACATGCATCTAAATGTGTACATACATATGGACATGGGTGGCTGGTTCTAAAGGGCCACAGGTGGATGGGCTCCACCAATATTTAATAAATGCCCAAAAATGTTTATTTGTCTTTAGTTATCTCTTTGTGATAACTGTAGTACTTTATTGGAATTGTTTATTCATGAAGATTGACAATTCGTCCCCAGAAATCACTCCAACTCCTAATAACCAAGAACTGATGTTATGTGAGAGTTTTACGTAAATACGGGACAATATGTACTACACCACAAGATATTTATTGAATGTCAGAAAGGGTTAAAAATGAATGGGATATAGAGTCTACTATGGGGAGAAATACTCATTTTCTTAAGTTTTGGGATCCCTTTCCTAACCCATAAATGAGTTGAATTCTGAATGCAGAAGGAAACAGACATTTGTGGCAAGAACTGATAAAACATTTTCTCCTGTGCAATAAAGACTATTTGCAAAGGCAAATTGCCACAGAATTTGGCCATTATCCTCATTACCGTTCATGAAAGAATCAACTTATTGCTGCTAGAACATGGAGAATGATTATTTCAATTACTATATTTTCCATTGAACTCTAGATAATGATAGATGTAGTGCACAGTTAGTGAAGTTTTATTTATATATGGGTAATATGGAAGGATATGGATAATGAAATGGATGCCAAATCGCTTCAAAAAGCTGGATTCATTACCATATGACAAACATTTTTCATTAGTAATGAAATAACTAACAAATATAACAAAAATTCATTTCTAACTACATACACATTGTAGCCCAGGTTAAAAAGCTGCATAGAATTAGAATAGAATTGTATAAGTTGTTGAAAACTCATTTAAATATTTGTTACAGGTGGAACTTGGTGAGATGGTGCATGATCTACCAGCTGGTCTCAGCACAAAGGTGTCAGAAGGTGGTTCCAATTTCAGTGTCGGGCAGCGTCAACTGGTGTGCCTTGCTCGTGCAATCCTCAGAGATAATCGCGTGCTGGTGCTAGATGAAGCAACTGCTAATGTGGATCCCCAGTGAGTATATAAATGCTGAGACAATTAGGCAATGAGAGAAAAATGTTTTTGAGCTTATTAAGCTTACTGCCTATGTTTGTTGCTGGTATAAAACTTAAACTAACACAATTATGAAGGGTAGACACAGCCTTTAAAACTTTAAACTAATAAATAAAGTATCATATGTATGATCATTTCACTTGCCATGCCCCCCCTGCTCCACCCTTCCCCACTCTATGCATGCCTATGTCACATCAAACAGGTATTCAGTTCCATTTCATTTCACTATTTGCCTTTTGTGATTTATAAGGTTAGTTTACCCTTGCAACTCCAACTGCCCAGCATTATCATTGCATGAAGCGTTATTTTGTTCTCACTGAAGCAAATCCAAAATGCAGGCACTTGCATTGCTTTAATTTCCATCTTTCACTGCAAATAAATAACAAGTTATTCTACAAACTATTTTCCCTTCTTCTGAAATTATTGTTCTATTATAGGACTGATGCACTTATACAAAAGACAATATGCCAGAAGTTTGCTTCTTGCACAGTCCTTACAATAGCTCATCGTCTCCAGACAATTATGGACAGTGATCGGGTCCTTGTAATGGATGAGGGGAGTATAGTGGTGAGTAATATAACTAAAAATTAATGTGTGTAATCAAAATATTTCACTTTGAAACTAGTGGCAGATACAGGAGGGGGTTGTCGTCAAGTACCTGATTTCGGGTAGTTTTACTCAATTTATTCAAAATAATTAATTTATATAGATCTCACAACATTCAAAGCACTATTCTCATTATGAATAATAATTTTCTGTTTTTATTTCAAGCTAACTATTAATAATATAAACAAAAATATTTATGGGATGTCTAAATTTGCATTGCCACCCCACCCCTCTCTAATTCTTTCTAGAGTAGCCTTGCTTGTAATACTATTTATATGAATATAAAAATAAAAAGTTTTTAATTTAGAAGTTTTGTTTTATATATGAATTTCACACATTTCATGTCAATATTAATCTAATATAAAGGTGCAGTCCTTTCTGCAAAAATGAATAAATGAAGTACTCTATGCACTTTGCGCTGAAAAGGGGAGCTTGAAGAGAGAGTTCAAAAATTAAGAATTCTTTTGTCACTTTTAAAAAACGTATGTACAAAAGGTTCATATAATATGCAATGCAAATATAATATCCTGTTGTAAAGGAATTTGGTCATCCTCGCAACTTATTGGAAAACAAAGGTGGTCATTTTTACAAGTTAGTGCACATGACCGGCCATGGTATGGCTAAACAGCTGACAACAACTGCTGAAGCAGGATGCAAACTGACAATGGAGATTCCCTAGTGTTTGATGTCCCCTGTTGGAAAAGCATTTATTTGTCTCTGACAAGGACACAGGTAATCCTATATCTAATTGCCTTATTTATGATTTTCACTCTTTGAAATGTTCAAATCAAGGACATTAGAAAATCAAACGTCAAGAGCAACCTTCTTGAGGCTGTGTCGCAGAAGTGAAGATGGTTTTTGTTTCACTTGTCAGTTTGACTCTCCCCACTGGGGAAATTGCCAATTCATACAAAGAGAGGTTACCGAGTTGAAGAGAAAAAAGGATTATTTACAGAAGAAGAGAAGAAAGGAGCAACATTGTAAAGACTACTCTCTTTCAGGCCATTAGTGCAGTTTTGTTAATTCCCGAGAAAAATTACTTTCTAATATAGGAAACAATTTTGTTTCACCACATATGTTATGACTCCAAAAATTATCTTTTTTTTCATTTTTATTATTTATATATCCATGCTCATGTACTGCTTTTGTAAGCTATACTATTGTTCAGTAAATGTCTTCTGTTACATGAGCCTTGTGTCTTAGGAATAAATTTAATTTTGAGAGATATATATATTTAAATCAACTTGTGCTTATGATATTGGTCAAATTAATATTGTGCTGTTAGTTTTAGTTCATTAAATGCAAATTCTTTTGTTGGCTATGAGTAAAGATATGACTTGAAAAAGGACTTTTGCTTAATACACAAGATAGAATGGTCTGATTATATCTTTGTGCCACTGAAACGACTGAATAGAGGAATGTGAATTGTGAAAACAACCTTATTTTTATGAGTACCCCACATATTTTGGAGCAATTAAGGAATATTTGTGAACTAAATATTTAGATAGCAGTTAGGATTACATCTATTTTGTTATCTACCTTTATTAGTATTGATTATTTCTAACTGTGGCTTGATTGCCTCGTTTTATTAAATCTGTATCCTTTTGTATCATTTGTGAAATAAAAGAAGGAAAATAATGAAGTCTGCCAGTTTTTGCACTCCCTTCAGATTATCTGTATTCCTCTTTTACTTGGTTTTCAGAGAATGTTCTCTAATGTTCATTAGTATGCACAATTGAATTAGATGAATCTATTTCTTGGTTTGAAAATGTTCTTATAAAAGTAAGCCAGACTTAATTATACTTTAATTAATATGTGCTTTCCAAACCATCTTCAAAACCCAGATCTAATGCCAGAGCAATTCAACCCTTTCTACATTTTACTTTAACTTTCATATAGGTTACAGCACCAAAAATGAATATATTTCTGAGCATTGTGTGTTGAAAAGTGTACATCAATTGTGTAAGTCTACCACAGCTCCTAAAGAAGCTGAACATATTGGATCCAGCAATTGTGGGATAAAATCGGCAATGAAATAACTGCAAAAGTTTGAAATCTTGGGCATTGGCCACACGAATAAATGGCTAAAACGACAAAATTCATTGTGTTAAAAACAAGACAAGTTGAAACGAGAACAGATTGCAAAAGAATTATAAACTAATGTTTGAGATTATGAAGGGGTGGACAAGTAACAGAAGAATGCAATAGTCATACCGGCAAACCAATGAAAACTCATAATTCAGATTGAGTAAAATTTAAATGAAGCCTTTAAATTTTTCTCTTTCTTTCTTTTTTGTTGATACTGGCAAATTAAAAACCCAAACACAGATTATCCTGTATTTTCTAGGAGGCTTTCTCTAAATTTTTGACATTGTAAAACACTAAATAAGCAAGCCATTTTTATTTTATTTTTTCCAGTTATTAGCTGACATTTCTACTGTAGTCAGGTATAATTAATTATCTTTTAGTTTTGAAAGAAAATATATTAAAAGTAGGTTCAATACAACAAATGAAATAATTGTTTAAAGTTTCATCATAATCACTAGGAACACTGTTTGAGCAGTTTTGCTATAAAATATTGTCAGGGGGAACCAAAAATAAAAAAGTCTAATCACATATGCTCATCTTGGTTTCCCTGCCGTTAAGTGCATTACACCCCCAGGTTTATATTAACTTTCATGGTACAATCATTCATAGGTATACACTGCAAAATGAATGAGACACTGAAAATTAAGCAAATGTATGCAAAAGAATGGTTCTAAGGTTTGCGGTACAATTTATCAAAAAGCACCCTAACTTTCTGGTTCTTGTATTTAAAATGAGCAAAAATGCTTCAGTATTTAAAGATCATATTGCATTCTCCAATATGATAGTGCAGTCATTACTACAGCAAGGTTCTGAATTTTTTAAGCCATTGAAATTCCTGGCCCTTCATACTTTGATAAAAAGTTGGTGAACTATCATATTCCATCCAAATCGATTGACTTTCAAAACCATTGAGTAGGCTAATAGTTTTGATTATATATTTAATAAAGATTAGTATTGTTTAATATTTATTTCAATTCTTTAAGTCTTTTGAAGTAGGCAATTAAACTAAATGCTGGAAGAGGTTTAAATAACAATGCCAAACATTTTGAAAATCTATTTCTATCATAAGTCTTTTAACTAATACATTTTCACATAACAAAACAATATTTTCAATTTGCATAAGTGGTTAAAGATATTCTCTATCGTGATGTTTTTCCCTTTTATACTTTTCCGATTTGGGAAACCATCTATGCTTAGTAGTATGGGTTATCTTCATTAATTCCTGCCTTACTTGCTCGTCTGTTTTTCTTTTCATAATTCTATTAAGTGCGACGTCTTTGGCCACCCGAAGGACAGACGAATCTTCTTCTTGAACTTCGGGTAAAGGGCGAGTTAATTCATACGGAACAGTATTCTCGGGATGCCAGCAAACGATCACGGAGCCATTGTCAGTAACCACAACTTTGTCTTCAGTATATTTCAGTGATGTAATTGATGCAAATGGTCTTGAATTAATAGCAGTGCGGGTATTCCACAAGGTGCGACAGATACTTCTAAATGTCCACCAACTTCTACTTTCATATAACCTCCAAATTCTCCCGTTCGCCGCCATTGTTATTGTGTGCAATTGTTCCTCTGTTTGGTTATGTAACAATTGATATTTTGGCACGTCGGAATGAAAAAAATAATAAATACTTTGAACTTCCTTTGGTCTAACTTGGGCACAAACGCACCAACCTCCACATCAACATCAATCAACACATTTCTGAGCACATTCAACAGACCTGCGCACAGCTGGTCGCTGCTGCCGCAGTATTGCAGAGAGTATATTACTGCAGTATTGCGCAGTATCACACTCTTTTGTCTTTTTTTATACTCCATGGCAGGTAAAATGACGTTCGTTTGTTCGTTCCTGTCATGAGCGGAATGACATGAAGTGGACGTGTGTGTGCGGTGTTTGTGGAACGGCCGGAAAGTAGCGACAGAAAAGTTGACACTATTATTTTAATTGTCCCACAATGTTGTTGATATTGCAAGATGATCATAAGCAGCATATAAATATTCTGGTAACCCAATCAGAACAAGGTGGTTATTGATGAGTTTGGGGAATTTACCCACTTTTACTTGTAGTAGTCATGTAAGCTTATGTAAGTTTTGATTGTATTTTCCATTAATCTGTTGTTACTTTACAGTTTTACAGGATTTTTGTAAACTTTCTATGGAGTACTTGAAGAGGGGGCCAAATCCAAAATTGTACCAATCAGCTGCTCGTATGTATCTCCCAATGATTTTGGACAGTTTTATTAATTTCTTTTGAAAAAATTAGTAAATGCTCATTTCCTGACTTACATGCATTACCTTTTTGTGAGACCGATAAATAATTTCATGGTCAAGATCACGATGTAAGATAAGATCAAATTTTGATGGATCAGATTTGTTGTTGCCCACATTATTGTTAAGTTATGTCATTTTTTGTTCTATTATTATTATCATCATTATCAAAATAAAATATTTGATTAATTCAGCTGAATTTTTCTTTACAGAAAAGCTGAATGTTCAACCAGAAGTTATACGCAATGCTGTAGAGGGGCTTGTTCACTTATTAGTAAGAAGCTGTAAACAGAAGGTAGGCCTAATGTTCCAACTCCTTTTTTATGCACAATATTCATAGATCATTTTCTTCTCCTTTTATTATAGTATTTGGATGGTTGGTTGTATGAAGAGTACTCGGAATGGGGTTTAGAAATAAGCCTTAACAAGAGTAGTATATGGTTATTGGAGGAAGTGCTAAAGGTCTAAGACTGGAGGATGATTCGGAAGTAAAACCCTGTCAAAAATTCATATACCTCGGTTCAGAAATAAATGCAAATAGAGTCAGTACACAATTTGTTATAAACAGAACTGCAAAAGGTAGAGTGGCTATAAGACAATTACATCCACTGATATGGAAAGATAAATTAAGTAAAAGTGTAAAAAGAAAATTGTATACGAATATTGTAGAGAATATTGCTCTTTATGGATTTGAGATATGGGAAATAACAAAAAAGAGCAAAAAGAAATTGAAAGCAATGGATATGGACTTCTGGTCCCGATGTTGCGGACTAATGTTAATGGATAAAGATAAGAACAAAGAAATTAAATGTAAAGTAAGTTTTAATATAATTGACACCACAGAAGTGAATGGGCACATGCAAAGAATGAACAAAGAACATTGGTCAAAAATTTTCTGGAAATAGCAACCAGCTGCCCATTGAGGTAGATGGGAGGCCTAGACTGACATGGAGTGGGAGAGGGAGTGGATGAGGCAATGATGAAGAGAGGATTGAGTAATGAAGACTACACCGATACACAGATGTGGAGGCTGGGATACAAGAGACATCCTAGGGTGTAATATAACTCGCCATACTACTACCACTTATAATATAGTTAATGTGCATTTGCTTTTTATAAATCTTCCCTGTTCTTTTATCATTTATTTATTCATTCATATTTATTTATACTTTCTAATTTATGGACAGTCAATGCTCAAGTTATTACACGCCCAAAAAGTATTAAATAGAACAGTATTAAGTTGTTATTATTGTTATTGTTATTATTATTAAATTATTAAGTATTAAATTGTAAAATGCAACTTCAAGAGCATGTGCAACCAAACCATTTACTTTCTATTCAAATATCAATAGCAAAAGTTTGTTTTAAGAGCAGTTCAGTCATATTCACTTCACAAACATCAAAGTGCACAACTTCCAAATTCTTGCTACTGGTTTATTCTTGGTATATAACAATAAATAAATTCCAATAGAAAAACAAACAAACTGTCTGGTGGTTTTAGTAGAAATGGTAAGCATCAGTTAAACTTCGACAGTAATACTGTTTAAAAGTTATAATAGAAATTTTATATCAGGATATAATTTATAGCAATTTTCTCAAAGGTATATCAGTCTGTACTACAATTCTTCATTTTTAATATATACTAACTGACTGGATATTATTTACTAAAAACTCTAAGTGGCGTATGGGGGAAAAGATCATCTGTACACGTTTTCTTGAGTTCCAGAATCCCTTCTCATCATTTTAACTATAAATAGTTGAAAGACAAGTAAAAGTTTAATAAATAAATAAAAATCAATTTTAAAAAAGCATGAAATTAGAAATATTTGAAAAAAATGGACATTTTTGTTCCTGACTTACAGAAAAATTACTTGCATCGGTAAACGAATTACAAGTATGATATTTCTGCATTGCTAACAAAATAGTAACTCACCCTTACCTCTACTCCTACCATTACAAGCAAAAGGAAAGTTCAACATAATGTGCGTATAGTTAAGCTACATTTATGTGCAGAAGCAAAACAAGGGACCATCTCAGTATTTGACCAATGGATCAAGGAAATTGGACAAAAACGTGATTGAGCTGGGGGTCATTGACCCGGAAGCTGAAGTACATTACTTGTTACAAACTAATGAAGTTTTTTAAAAAAAATATAAGATACAAATGTAAGCTAATTCAATATATATCACTATTTTGTTAAAATACACATTATTTTTCTGTTTGATAATTAGTTTAGTCTCCAATTGTATAAAAACAATTTTGCAGCAGAAAAGGTTTTACTTTTAACTTAAATTTGTGAACTGACTTCAATTGTTAATGTCATCTGGCAATATGTTGTAAAGTAACGTACATGTGTTGTATGTGGATTTCTGATGGTGAGCTGTTGATACTGACACTTCATGAACATTATTTCTACGATGTGTGTTGTAATTATAAATATCAGAATTGCATATGTTCCCATCATGAAGTAAGTCACTTTTGACAAATATTACAGATTCGTAAATAATTCGGCAAGGCAGTGGTAAGAATCCAAGCTCAATGTAGAGAGGCTTGCAGGGATCACGAGGATGGCATTTTTTCATTATTCGAATAATTTTCTTTTGCAATCTAAAGGTTTGAGTACTACATGATGAGTTTCCCTACAATATTATGCCATATCTCAGGCAGTAATGTATATTTGCAAAATACAATGAGCTGCATGATGGCTGACAGATTTTGAAAGAATTCTGAATAATTAACTTAATTTAGTGTTTAGTTTTGTTATATATTCATTTCATTTGAGGTTTCACTGAATTGAGAGACCTAGAAATTTTGATACCTGAATGTCAGCTAATTGCTTATTGTTCACTTTCAATGGAGCATGCGATTGCTGATTTGAAATGCAAAAATGCATTGAAACTGTTTTTCCTTTGTTAACTATTAATTTGTTATTACAAAATCATTTTGAAACTTCTGAAATCATACTATTTATTGTTTATTTTGTGGAAAGAACATTCATGTCATCGGCAAACAGAACCATTCTTCTGTTTTTAATAGATGAGGGCATATCATTTATATATAACAGAAAGAGGGTAGAATTTAAGAACGAGCCTTGTGGCATCCCATATTCAATTGGTAAAGAATTGGAAAGATAAATAAATAATGTTCTTTCTTGCCAGTACAGTATTTCTTTGAGATTGATGTTTAAGGTTATCCAATCTAGTGAGTTTCCATGAATTCCATGGGAAGGTAATTTTCATAGCAAGATGGAATGGTTAATAATGTCAAAAACTTTTGCGAGATCTAAAAACATTGCAAATTGCTTGTGCTAAAAATATTGCAAAGTGCTTCATTTTGGTCCATTAATGAAGCAACATCTTTAAGAAAAGGTAAAATGGCAGTTTCCGTAGATTTTGATTTTCTAACCCCGTGTTCTGAGTCTGAAAATGCTTCATTTTTCCTGAGAAAAATTTTCCATTTGTGTATAGAAAAGCCTCTCTAATATTTTTGAGAAATCTGACAAATAAGAAATTGGGCGGTAATTTTGAATTCCATTTTCGTTCCCTTTTTTAAAAAGTAACTTAATTTTTGATGTTATGAAAATATCTGGAAATATTCATTTGCATAAAGATGCATTGAAAATGTGATTGACATTGTAAGGATTTAATGTCACTTAATGCATGCAAGGAATATGTGTTAGTTTTCATGAAACATTGTGTTAATAATACAAAACATAGGGATTATCTGTGATCTTCACAAGAGCTTGCTGTATGGTTGTGTTATGAGGTCTCTCCTGAGATTCATGTACACATTACTTATTCGTACTTAGTATGAATGCATATCTAGTAAATTGTTGATTTGCGTTATCTCACTCTTAAAATTGGGCGTGTTATAGTATTGTGCACTATTTTCATGGCATCTTGAATATGCTTTTGCACCTAGGAGGTTCTTCAATAACATTCAGGACTATATAGTCCGGTGATCAGATGGTCACCTCCTCTACAGATTTCTTGATTATTTGGATATAATGCATCAACTTGGGATAATTGTCAATGCCAATTTTAAAGTATTGTTACATTTTTAACATTATTATATTAACAACTTTTATGTTAAATAGTTGTCTCCATACTTAAAATTGTCAAAAAGCACATGTTCCATTTTGATCAAGTTATTGCGAATTTTTATTTGGTAGGGAATAATGATGATTCATTCTTTATAAACTTGGGTGCATTTTGCTGCACATTTCACCCTGATAAAGGTAGCAGTTTGATGATCTAAATGTTGGCATCTGCACCTAGGACTAGCATTAGTAAATTATAGTTCACCCAAAATTGAGATATTCGAAAGCTTAATGAGCTAGATATGAAAATTAACGAAAAGATTTAGAAGCTTGACAATACATATTACTTGCCAAAGTCTTTAAATCATCATCAATCAGTCATGGCTGATGCTGGGTCACTCAAAGCTCGCCATATATTAGAAGCCCCCACAAGGTGTTTTTTATTGGAAAACTTAAAGTGTATTGAACAAATATATTTTGTATTTCATTGAAAACTCATGCTGCTTTGAAATATTCAAGTGTTCTTAATTACATTATAGAAATGTATTTGGTTTTTAAATTATGAAATAGCTTGTTTTTTTATGTAGTACTTTACTATAAAACCCATTTTCAGCAGTTTATGTAGATGAATATTTACACATGTAAATCAGAAAATAATTTGTTGACAAGAACCTATTGGTGACATTGATTTCTCATTTTATTTTAAATAGATTATTTAGATTTAATTAATAAATTATTATTACAAATTATATTCTATTTCCTTTGTTACCTTATGCACTTAACTGAAATTAAAGTTTTATTATTCACTTGAAATTTAGGATCCTCACATAAACTATTTTTACATGCAAGGATTATTTGTGTCATTTTATAAGTTCTTCACATAATTGTGGAACATATATTTCAGTACTCAAATAATTGTTGTTTACTATACATTAAATAAAATAATTTTTTGTTTCAGTTAAATGATTTGGACTTCCGAGATTCAATGTTAACTCTAGGCTTCAGTGAAGCTCATCAAGAAATTCTTTCTGCATTTTTTGAAAACAAGAAAGAAGAGATCCTAAATGTTTTAAACAACTACTCTCATGATTTGCCTCACTTCAAAGATCTGGAATGGCGTTTTGAAGTGCAGGTAAGGTGAATTTCCACATATTAACTTAAGAACAATTTTTTTCAGAAAGTTTTATTTATTTATCATAAATACCTTTGCAGGATTGCAAACTGATTCAAAACAAATCTCATCTATTATTAAAGTAAAGAAGATACACTTTCATGCATATTCAGCTCTAAAAATAACTTTCAATGTTACAAAAAGTTTCTTACTCTTTTGTATATTGAATTAAAAATTATTACATTGGGCATAGATTTTAAAATCATTTTTAAAAGCTATGTTTCAAAATATTGTCTAAAAGACAGAATTTTTCCTTATGGCAAATTTAAAAAAACAAACTTTTTTCCTTGTGTGTGAACTTGCGTAATTCTACCCTGCAGCTTGCTTCCCGGAGTTTACAGCATCAAATTACTCCTTTGATCACTATGAAACTGTCTCTGGAGAATCGTCGTGGATCAGTGGCTATACCTGGAGAACAGTTGGTGCTGCAGACGGATCCTACCAATTTGGTTCATCTCACTCAAGTTCTGGAAGAAGCTTTGCTGGAAGCCCGCAGTCAGCACACTCGGCGCTTCCAGAGATACATTAAATAGCCAATGGCTTGTCTGTGATGTTCAAAGACAAAGGTGAAGTTGCTGTGGAAAACCAGACTATTTTGTGCCAAGCATATGAACAGAAAGAAAGCAGTATGCATGTGCATTTAAAAAACTATTTGTTGACTAGTTCAAGTCCCAACCAACCAACAAAACAGTCAAAATTATTTTTTCTTTATTATAATTTAATAAGTATTGTAATTTTTCATTGAATGAATGTTATTGTAATCAATATTCAATTATTAGGAAAAGGAAAATTTGTACACAGTAATTAGAGAATTTCACTTGAATTTTATTCAACTAATTGTTTGTATTTGTACGAAAAAAAATAATTTCTTAATAGATTAATTACCTTAATACTCAAAACATAATAAAGGACTAAATGTGACCAGCATTAAAATATTTCTCTAAATGATTACAAAGAATATTTTATACTGTATTCTGCGTGACTTAACCATTTTATTTTTTTGAAGAATTGTGTTCTTCCTTGTTGATGTTCGATTAATAAAATGCTCAATATTCCTGCCTTAATCTTAAAGAAACTTTCATTTTTTTCAATTTCATAGAATATTTTGTAGATAATCTACTCTGAAAACCTTGTGTCTGCACAGTGTAAGAAATCTTAGATGTGGTTTTCAATCAATGAATGCTGAAACTGAAAACTGAATACTTTTGTGAATTTGCTTTTGAAGAAAAATTCAAGAACCATTAGGTTCTAATTTTTGTTATTGAAACATTACAGCGTATTTAGAGGCAGTGAAAATAAAGTGGAGAAAAATCAAAGAAATTGAGGAAGTATAGTTAAACAAGGTTTGGTTTCAAATCTATTATATTTTAAAATGTGTTAGTTGTATAAATGTGTTTATAAATTACCTGTAATTCTAGATGATTATTACTTTCTCGTCCTTACAAAGGTACTTCGTAAAAAGAGAAAGTTATGAAATTGTGCACTGGAAAGTGGCGAATTTTTGGCAGAAAAAATCTTATTGCTTGGTACCAAAAAAATATGTAATTCCTGTTTCAAAATATCAAAAAAAATATCCTCCAACCCATGATGTATTCAGAATCCATTTTTTGTGGGTCCTCAATACCAAAAAATCAATTTACAACAAAACCTGTCTGTCCAATTATGGTCAATGCTAGTGCCCAAACCGTTCACCCAATTTTCTTCAAAATATACAAGTATATTCGTTGGTCGATCTGAATTGACTTGAGACTTCGGAAGTTTGAAAAGGATATATTGAGTGTACTTTACATAAACCCTCAAAAACATTTTAAAATCTTTCTCAAAAATAGCACCTTGTTGTTTGATCAAACTTTGTCCTTGGATAGCACAAAGGACGCTTAAGAAAATGGTGCAGGTCTCAAGTTCGTTGAAATCTGAGATTTTTTGAAAATTGCAAGAGTCCTATTTTTTGGCTGCCTTTCTACAATTATAATTTTGCAGATAAAGATTTCTTTTTCTTAATGAATTTTGTCCTTAAAGACAAATCTTTAAATAAGTTCTTGTTCAATTTTTTGAATATATGTGTAGTTTTCATGTAATTTGACAGGAAATATGGACAATTTGTAAATAAAATTAACAATTTTTAAAAAACGCTGTAAATGTTTTCTTTAATTTTTAGTGGATAGAAGAACGGATGCTATTCTGTGGGTCTCAGTTTCGGCAAACACTCCGTATTTTCGAAAGTGGCAAATTTATAAATAATGCGAGAAAGTATGTGCCGTTGGAGCGTCGTTAGTTGTAAAATGCTTTAAAATTAGTTGAATACCGAAGGAAATTTTTTTTATAGATAAACATCGTGGAAACTTTTCTTTTTAAAATGTATTGAATTCTTTCTCTTGTTACTGTTACTGTGTTTTGTTATTTTTTATTGGTTAAGGAATTGATGATAAAGATTTGGCATTTTTTGAAAAAGAAAGCCCAGGTCTATTTTATTGGGCACGTACTTTTCTCTAGCTTTGCTTAACTTTATTCTGTATATATAGTATATTTCATTTTCGTGCCTGATAGAAATCAGAAAAGCATTTGGTTTATTCTTGAATCAAGACTGCCTTGTCAAAGGTGGAACCCAACAGAGGACTCACCGCGATATATTCGAAGCTGTCTGGACGAATTAGAACGGCATTTTTGCCGTTAATCATTGTCTATAATTGTTTAGCGACTACGGAATTGTTGGTCATTTAGAGTGGGAACTCTAAAATGAAAAATTCCGAAAGCGATTTGCGCTTAGGCAATTACGATCACGAGCTGCATTCGTAGCGTGCTCTCAACATGACAATGTGGAGTTATTCATTCTTAACTGCAGCATCTGCACCACGCTAAAAGTGCTGGTAAGAATAGGTGCTCATGCTTAGGTGGCACGGTTGCTCAACTCTCAAGTAATCGTAGGATATTTAAATATGTTTGTGATATTGTAGCTCATATTTTCCATTTAATGCCATTTAATATTCGAGATATTGCAGCCTTGTCGATGTGCAAAAGCGTTTCGAAATCATTGTCGAGCTCTCCAGGAGCTCTCTCTGGATTGTAGTCGCAAACTAGGCAGCGCACCGATTTATGGTCGTTTAAATGCGGCTCCAGACGTGAGGCATTCGGCGAATCCCGAGTAGTGTGGACGGGGTGCTTGCGATTCGCCGAGCACCGAACATTCGGTATTCGCCCTACCTACCGCGTGTCGGTTTTTAGGGCACATCAAAGGAAGCTAAAATTTGCACATCGCTACTCGAGATTGGGCGAACTGTCGCTCGCTATGTGTGGAGCCGCTGTAGGCTAACGACTCACGAACGTCAAATGACGGACGATAAAGTATCTGTGAGGTTTGCTGCTGCTGTTCGTGAACTGGGACCGACAAATGATTTAATTTGTCAGTCCCAGTACGTACTTAACATTTTGAAAAGTTAATTACTGGTATCGTTGTAAGAAATAAAATCATGAGTTCGCGGATAATTTCACATTAGGAGAGCATACATCCCTGAAAAGTTACAGATTAAATTTTTTTTTGCAAACGATAATAGGCTAGGGAAGTTTAAGAAGTATTTTTCTTTCAACATCAACAGTAACAACCACAAAGATCGTGAAATGAACTAGGGTAAAACAAGTCCAAATAGTGCTTTTTTTAGTGCTGGAGTGCGATCTCTGTATTTTGAAATCCTAGTCCGTTTTTTTTTTTTTATTTTGTGTGAAGTATATTACCTGCAGTTGTCTCAATGACGAACTAGTAGAAAAACTCGAAAAACTCTGGAAATCAAAACTTGGATCTAGGATCTAGAACCATGGATATTGGAGGTGAGCACACGTAACGTAGACTAAGCAAAATATTATGTAAGTAATTTTTCTATATTGGCTTTCAGTGTCACAGCGTTGGGTTAACGTACGTTGTAGATTAACGCTGCATCTTATCCAAAAGGGCACACGAGCGCTTTTGGCGACACCCGTCGCCTAGCGAACGTCGCGCGTAGATAGCTAGAAAACGTGCGTTACCTTTGGCTTGTGTTGCATTGTAGCTTGTGCAGTAAGCCACGCGGTTATATCAACGTGCGTTCAACGGACGTTTGACCGGTTTAAGTAGCTCCGGGCATCAATTGATGTCACTGCAGTGCCTCTGAACGGGAGGTTCTAGGGTTAGATTTGCGATTGGCAGTATTTTAGGCAATAGCAACAGACCTAGGTCGAATTCAGCTGCTGTCTGGAGGTGATTCAAACGGCCGGCTGCTCTGGTTGAGAGTTTTCATGGTTTCTCCGATCAGTACCCTTACAAATGGGCCACGGCTGCGCGCTATCATTACTTCCCTTTCCTTGTCCTATCCTAACCCCGTACTTACACGCACTACACTACCGCATACGACGCGAGACATGTCGGAAGGTTAGAATTTGTCCCGGTTGCGGCGGTGCCCCGTTGGTGGGAGACACCTAATTGCGGGGAAACCCCAGACAGTCGCCACTACCCGCTATAAAACATGTACTACGCTTACGGGACTAATAACCTTAGCAGTTGACGCGTCCAGGATCACTAATCAATCAACGGACGATTGATCTGTGGAAATCTTAGCTCTCAAAGGGAAGGTAATGTTTTATTTCAGGTGGGTTTTTGACGCGTCTCTGTCTTTTGATGGAGAATTGATCAGACCCGTTTCCAAATCCGCCCAGACAATTCTAAGAACTTTCCAAAAAGCGTGTTTAGTGGATAGACAAATAATTAAACCAAATTCATGCATGTATGCGATGATGATTAAACCCTTTTACCCATAGGTAAATTTCGTTCCACGACGCCATAATTTTCTTCCACGAGGATGTCTGATAGATGTGCAGCAAGTGAATCGCGCGGCAGAACTGTGATACTGCTTTGAAGTATTGTCGTACTTTTAATAATAAATTTGCAAAAACCTGTGCACGGAACTTCTTAAATTTGGAGAACTTCAAGTGAATATGAAGAACTGGAGTAATGGTAGAAAATGAAAGCACATCCATATTCAATTTTTGACATTTACGTTCTTAAGCGAGCAAATACCAATTTTCTGACGAATGCGACAAACAACTTATTCTTATTAAACTTAACTAAAACCCTACTGCCATAAATATTCAAAACAGTCGCCTTTTAATGTTTATTTAGATTCGTGTACAAAACGATTAATAGAGAAATTGCAAAACTAGAAGTAAACCAAATTCAGACTGTGATTGTGAAGTTTTAAACTCTTCAAAAATTAGAGGTAAAATATCTCATAGAAGTATGAAGCAAATCTGGGGAAGATTCAAATGTAGTTGAAAAGATTTTGCGTCAGAAGTTTCGGAACTAATTGTGAATGATCTTATATTGAGATTACAGCGACGCCACATCCAGTTAGAAGATTATCATTTTAAATTTAATGAATGACTCGGACTTCCTACTAAAATGTAACTTTCGGTCGGGGGTGCGTTGAGTGTTACGTTCGGGCCCGCAATGCCGAGGTGCCCAGATACAAGAGAGCGTATTTTTAGGCTGATCGTTTTGCGATTATTAGAAATATTAATTACTTCATACTTTGCGATAGTTGATTCAATAAAATATTAAAAACAGCATCTTCTAAAAGAACGATTTTTTCTGCTTCATAAGCTTACATAACCCTGTTCGTAAATCAATAACGGTAAGTAATTCATTTCGGTTTTATAACAGTCTTAAATAATAAAGGCTGATTTTTCCTCCATTGTTAACAATAAACACGGCACACAAAATTTCTTTTGATTACGTTTGAAGCTTGCCATCATATGGGATATCGCTCATACGAGAGCGTTGCCGACAGGGCTGTCCAAAATACTTTAAATTTAACATTTTAATACTTCGCCAAAATAGTTAGTAAATAAGTATTAAATACATATTAAAAATACATAAAGTTTTGATTTTGTAAATACATACGCATTTAAAGTACTTGAAATACTCAAAATATAGTAAATACAATTTTATTATATGTTTTATTGCAACAACATAATTGCCAATCGCAATAAATTAGTAATTGACAGTCAAAGTGTAAACAGCCAAAATTAGGTGTTCTTTCCAAAGGACAGTAGACATATGAGTGCATTGCCTTGTTGATGTTGATTCATTTAGCTATACTAGTTGATTATGCATAAAACCTTACCTTCACAGATTTTAATAGAGACTAACTGCTGCCAATGGTTGTAGAGAATGGGTATTTCAAATGCGAGTATTTAAATGCTGCCCAGTCCTGAAAAGACAAATTGCAAAAATTATACTGTATTTATTTTAAGATGATTTTTCTTAATATAACCAAAAAATCAACGAAAGTAAAAAAAATCAATCTTATCTGGATTAACTGTTCTACGAACTTTGGAATGAAAGTAAAAATTAAACCCACGTATTTTATTGAAGTATTTTAAGTATTTCTTCTTTTACGCCTGTCTTATGTATTTAAATGTATCTCCAAAATACATGTCAAAAACCCTCAAAAATACATGTTTTCACGTACACACCATGTATTTTAGAGACGTATTTCAAATACAAGTATTTAAATACTGCCCAACTCTGGTTGCCGACAACGCTTTTCAATAAACAGTAGTTAGAATTAGGGGGTTGATAGCATCGTCTTGACTTGTACCTCCTTGTTTAATGCTTCAGTTAATGAGACTTGGATCAGATTATGTGTCGCTGAAGTATTGTGTGTGTGTTTGAAGAAAATATCCACAATATTAATTTTATATTAAAGGGGCCCAGATAAATGATTCTCGGGTGGCCCGCACTCATTTCGTTACGCTATTTGTTCGAAACCCCCAATTCAGCCGCATAATGAAGGCCAATTTACCAAGGACCGCGTCTTCAACAGTAGGATGTTACGTTTGGGTCAACTGTAACCATCATGATACGCACTTAATGTTTCTACGTAAAGGACCTTTTTCAAGTAAACATTGGGCTGGTATCGAACATGATACGCCTATAAAGGCGTTATGTTATAAGGACCATTTGAGCTTACGCTTCTAAATAGGAATATGGATGGAGTTCTTTGCTTTTGAATTTTTTTAAAAGAATTTATCTCTCGGTACCTTCGCAAAAGCGATGGAGCAAAAACGATGGTGAGTCGCCTCAGCTCTTGAGAAGTGCGAACATTTATTTCTTTGGCGTCTTTCCCAATTGCTAAATAGGTAGAGGAGACTCCATCGTTTAGCGTCGCTCATCCTTGTCTATACTCCTCCCCTTTTGAACGGGGAGAGGTGGCTCAGGGCATAATCAGATGTCACGGCAGTGTCTCTGAACGAGAGGTCCTAGGCTCGGAGGTCCAACCGTAGCTGAATTTTCGACGCTAGCTAGATAGCTGGATCAAATTCAGTCCCTGTATGGGGGAGAATTCTAGCGGCTGGCTGCTTGATCGGTAGTTTTCCGTGGTTTCTCCGATCAATACAAGGTGAATGCCGGAGCAGTACCCTAACTGGCTATGGATCGCGCGCGATCTTTCCTTTCTCTTCCTTGCCCTATCCCCACCCCTTACTCACACACTCTTACATGCACTACACTACCACACATGCTAGGGGACCGGTCGGGAGCTTAGAGCTAGTCCCGGCCGGGGCGGTGCCCCGCTACTGGGTGACACCTAATTATGGGAAATCTCTGCCAGCCGACTAGTTGGTCGGCGGTCGGCACCGGGGAAAGATCACCGCCACTTCCCGATGAAAAAAACATGCGCTGCATATACAGGACCAATGACCTTGGTCGTTAATGCGCCCATAATCACTAAGCAATCAAGTTAAACTTCTCCCCAGAACTTACGGAGCGAATTGTTGTAGGAGCGTTCGAGAGTGTCAGGTCTGCGCCAGGCATATTCAAACGTGTGGGACCACATGTGGTTGAGCGATGAACGCATGAATGGACTCAGGACGACACTGAACACGGCTGTAAGTGCAACGAGCGATGCCCATAAACCAGTTAAATATGCCTTGTGTAAGGCAGTACAAAGCGTTCAAAATGTCTCCGCAGTGGCAGCCTTGCCGTTTCACTCCCCTTTCTCCAACCTTGCACAGGGACTGATCCAGAGATAAATTTTGGGAGGGGAAATTAAAAATGATTTGGTCGAATGTGTTACAGATGTTGGAAAATGTTTTTATTTTGAAAATATTTGTCGCAGATTACACTCAGTTCATGCTGAGCTATGAGTTTATTCTTTTTAATGATAATCCGAAAATATTTTTACCTGAAAGTTTTGTGAGAACTTGAAATGAATATTTACAGATAAATTTTAGGGACGGAAATTTTCCTCATTTCCCTCCCCGTGGATCCGCGCCTGATCTTGCGAGCGAATCAGGGAGAAGATGCCTTCGCTCTACTCCATACCAGCTCAACGAGCTGGGTTCAGGGCACCCCTCAACCTCTTTTAGTCTGCGTTCTTGAGAACAAGTTGAAAGAAGCTGCTCAAAATCCTGCAAACAGAAAAAGGAAGAGATCTGATGACTAGAAATATTACTCCTCTCGTGTAATTAATGACACGAAAACAAGACATTCTTTGCGTGAAATAATGAGTGCACAATTTGAGGCAATCGTGTCACTGGACGGACTATTGTGGCATCATCCTCTACGAACCTCGACTTCCCAGAACTGGCCTTCATGCATTGGGCGTGGACTCAGTGGCAAGCTGAGCTCGCATCTGCCCTGGGAGAATATCAAAACACGGAGGAATTTGTCAGAGTGCAATGCAATTTAGTCATATCCGTATATAAAAGGGTTTGAATTGGTGAAGAAGTGATCGCGAAAAGACTTTCTGAACACATTGTTGCTTGATTTATCCCATCTCACGTGACACTGTGAGGTAGAGTCCGGATTCACCGCAGGCCCCCTTACTAAAGTATATTGTCACAAACGTGCGAATGTCATGCTTAGTAGCTTTTCCTTTTTATCGTTCAAGGTTGGCACGTTAATACATGCCCAGTTGTGAGAAGCAAGAGGAGTAACAAACTCCACGTAGCGCTAGTACTGAAGTGAGTCGTGGGGATTGCATAACCACCAGGCGTTGAAATTCGTTGTCCCTCCATGGAGTTGCAGGGCAGTGACGTAGAGATTTGGTTGGTTGATTGATTGGTTACTGATTCCGGGCGTGTCAACTTCTAAGGTCATTAGTCTCGTAGGTGTATCGCGTGTTTTATCGCGGGGTGTGGCCGTAATCTTCCAACGCTGGATGGCGGGATCCGGCGCTGACTTACCTGTGGGCTTCCGGATTTCCCCAACCAGGTATCTCCCACCTCTCCAGCCGGGACAGTGCTCTCGGCATGTGGTAATGTAGTGCGTGTAAGTGTGTATGTGTGTGAAGTGTGGTGTGAGAATAAGACTAGAAAGAGGAAGGCAAGATCGCCCGTGGCGAATTTGTAACGGTACTGCTACGGCATTCGCCTGGTTTTAATCGTAGAAACCACGGAAGACTATGGATCAGAGCAGCCGACTGAATTTGGCCCAGCAATGAAATCAGTGTCGAAAATCCTGCCGCTGTCGGGACTTCATCCCTATGTCCTCGGAGGTCCGGTCAGAGGCACTGCAGTGACATTAATTGATACCCAGAGTCACCTGAGTCGGTGAAGAGTTTTGGTTGCATATATCTGTCTTTTTCTCTCGCCTCTCTCTTCTCTCTGCTCTCTCTCCTATTCCACTCTGCCCCAGCCTTTGTCAGCTTTGTTACACTCTCTGTATTCCAGACTAACGCTAGAGTGTATGGAGCAATTTCAAGCAACTTGGCACTCACGTGACTAAAAATCTTGGGGGAAATTACTGTAGGTCTGTGGGAGAGAATATGTGTGTAGGACCCTGCTCTATCATTTACTGGGAATGATTGATCAAAACCAAAGAAATGCCTGAAAATACTAAAATTGAGAATATATTAGTGCCAACTAGTTTTTTTCATAATGAAACATTTTTTTGATGATTTTTTCTAGTGTGTTGCAATTCATAAACTGTTCGTTTCTAAAAAAAATTTGCCTATTTTAAGTTATTTTCAAAATAATAAGCAAATAATTATAGTAAACGTTTTTCATTTGTCATTAGTTATAAGACAAAAAGAAAGCAAAAACAATATGTTATATTCTGTAAAGAATTCTGGCAGAGTAAAAAAACAAGCTCTATGAGAAGTTCAACTGCATGAAGTTGTCAAGAGCAATCAAAGTGATCACCTAATAAGATCATGTCATCTCATCTTCTGCCTGTCATTTAAGGATGGAATGAAGCCTTTCACAGCTCTCAGCCTGATATTGGATTATGATTAGAATTATTACTATAAAAGCGTGAGTGAGCCTTTTCTCTTTGTGCGAGTGAGCCTCCTCAGAGCACAGCCCCACAGTCAGCCAAAGGACTTGAAGTAGGCACCTCTGGTTGTTTTCTTCAGGTTCATAATGGACAGTAAGTGTTAATAGTTCTTATACATTCAAATAATGTACACGTATATACTTGATATAATTGTCTTGGTTTACACTGATGCAAGAATACCTTTTCAAGATGTTACTTCTTAATGTTCACATATATACTTGTTAGAATTGTCTTGGTTTACATTGAGGCAAGAATACCTTTTCAAGATTTTCTTTATTGAATATGCTTGCTACATTCAGATATAGATTTTATTAATATAATTTTTAATCAAATAATCTGTAAAATGAAATATTCTTAATAGATTTATGGACATTTTAATGAAGTTAAAACTTTAATAAATTTCAATGTACCAAAATTTCAGATCTCAAAAATTTTATATATTTTTAAGTGTACAATAAACAATGAAGTGACAACTGATTTAAAATATATCAATATTTTTATAAAAGGAAACCAGTGGTTCTCAACAGCACATACTTTCTCACATTATTTGTAACAGTTATGTAATATAATACTTCATGAACTTTGTGTAATTTTGGCAAAATTGAAGGATTCCATCAAAATAATCTGTAATCATGTTACGTCATAGTCTATATCATGCTATTCTGTATATATAGCCTTATTCATTAAACAAATCTTAAAGAAAGAATTTGTGCCATTTTTGAGAAAATTGTGTAAATGTTTTTGGGACTTTAGGTAACTTACCATGAAAATCAAGATATACATTTGGCTCATGTGTGGTGTGTTTTTGTTTTTTTTTTGTAGACATTCTGGCACTTACACCTAGCCTTCTGCAGCCTAAGGCCCCTGAGGCATGGCAGCAGGTTTCAAATGTGACTGTGGTGGATAATGTGCCTCCTGATATGTTACATCTTATTGATGCTCACTGGTAAGTTCTGCACCACCTAAATATCCAAATGGAAAATCCAACATTTATAGACAAAGAAGAATCCTCATTTAATTAGAAAAATACAACACTTAATAAATGTTGGAATTAGATTAGTTATTGTACAGTCTGCAATTTCAGGGAATACTATTGAATGGCAAAACAAACAATGAAATTAATGCATGATAGCAGTTGGACCCTATAATATTTGTGTGATTAAACACATGATAAGATTGGAAGTGCTTCTGCATTAAATAAATATTTATATAATTTAAAGTGTATTTTTACATGCATGATACAGTAAATCTATTATAATGAAACTACAACAATTTTCATCTGAGATGCACTTGGAATTGAAATATGCCCTTTTTAAGTGGTTTTATGAATTTCAAAACAAGTGGTGTTTCGTTTACTTTATAGGAGGAATGTAGGCAGCCCATTGCTGGTCAAGATTTAGCAATCAGCCTAGAATTTCATATTCAGAAATGCAAGCTGCGACTCATTCATTGGTGGCATAAGAGGGGTTCCATTCAATGGGGTAACTTGAGTTTGCATCACGTGGGGCATTGTTACCCAGGCAATTATTGTTGGAGTCATTCACTCTCCTTCTGCTTCAATAGATTATAAAAAAATGTATTAAGGAATATCTACTTTATAAATTATTTAATGAAAGTATGTTTATTGTGAAAGTGATTTCTTTCTTCTTTTTTTTGCTGCCTAAAGAAAATTTTAATATCTGACATGGTTAAATAATAATAAAATTTAAAATAATTTTTTTAAAGAAGTTTCGTTCTTTTCTCTGATAATAACGAAACAAATAGAGGAAATGTTATTGAAATCAATTTATAAAATTGCAATAAAAGTTAACCTGATTAATTTATAAATGTAACATTCAAAGCTATACTTTTAAATTAAAATGTTCTCTTTGTGTTGTCCCTAGTCTTTTAGCCTTAACAAGAGCAGACCCCTCTGCCCCAAGTTATTATGCCACTAACCTCAGTTACCAAAGGGTGACCCCTTATACTCATCTACCATGGGGGTCCTACTTAATAAGTGAACCTCATTAACTGAAAGAGCCCCTTCAATCATATTCACCAGCCCTAGACTTACACTTATGCCACAATCCCTACTGTTCTTGCCTGGCAAGTTGCATCTTCCTCTTCTCATCTAAGTAGAAAAATAATGCAGGAGCTTCTGTAAGTCGAAGCCTGAATAATATACATATTATTTAGCTTTGTAATTAAACCTACATGATTCATCAGCATCTCCAGAACAATGACAATAATCTTAACATATAAAATGAATATCAACTACAAATTAATCTTTTTATATTGTTCCCAGGTACCAGTTTCCTCCTTTAAATCCACTTTGGCATGCAATTCTTGGATTTATGATTGGATGTTTGGGCTTTGTGTCGTGGATGGGTAATGGAGTTGTGATCTATATCTTTTCTACGACCAAAGGACTTCGCACCCCTTCCAACCTGCTTGTTGTGAATTTGGCTTTTTCTGATTTCCTCATGATGGTGGTAATGTCACCACCTATGGTAGTTAACTGCTTCTATGAAACATGGGTATTAGGTATGTCATTTTACTGCAACTAATAAATTGCCAAGTACTGATCATTAATGTAGCATTTTAGGATTGATATTTGAAAATGTTAACTTTTTTACATTGTCATTCAATTTCATTAAAAATCCAAGTTATTTCTAAAATATTACTTTGGATGGGTATAAAATATATTTTCAGTGTTGAGGATATTTGCTTTTTGATCCCCTAAAGTGATCAAGGGGTCTCTTAAACGTTCAAGAGGCTTCTGAATGCCTCACCAAATTCTGAACATGATAAGTTAAAAAGAATTGAAACTATGGTTTTGAAAATTGAGTCAGTCACATCTAGTCTGTCCTGATTTTAATAAATGAAATAAATAATAATACAGAGTACTCTAAAAAGAGCCCTTTTCAATATCACAAATATTAGTGTTGCGAATAACAAATGTTAGTCATAGTTAAAATAGCCAATGATAGCCAATCAAAAGAATTTTGCATTTTAGATACTTGGAAACTTTTATTGATGATCATTGATGCTCATACATAGCTGGCACTCTGTCATACATGCAAGAAGGGATGAATATCAATGGTGTGTCTGCTGCACATCTGTAAGAAAACATTTAACCTACCTTCATACATTGTCTTATTCAGGTCTTGTTCACTCATAATTGATCACATAAAATTCATAATCAGGCTCAATTCTCATAATTTCCATCAATTTTTTTCTATTCAACACTGTGTGCCGTGGGGTGCATTTCATGACATTATAAGTATATTTTCAGAATTTTCATATTCTTGTAGCGACAAGAATTTTGAAAATTCTAATCATTCCTTTGTGGACCGAATATACTAATAATAATTTATTTCGTCGTGTTTTAATGTGTTTAGGAGAACTGATGTGCCAAATATATGGCATGTGTGGATCCTTGTTTGGCTGTGCTTCCATTTGGACTATGACAATGATTGCAATGGACCGATACAATGTTATTGTAAAGGGCTTAGCAGGCAAGCCTCTGACTATCAAGACTGCTTTGCTACGCATTATTGTAGTGTGGCTCTTTGCTCTAGCATGGACAATTGCACCACTTTTTGGATGGAACAGGTAAAGACCATGTTAATTGTTTCCAATCTTCTTTGCTAACACTCACATGTATATTGTGAGTATTTTGTAGGAAGAAAGAAAAAATAGCTGTGCCTTTGATCCTTGTAGTAAAGTTAATGCCTCTTATAATTTGTAAATAAGAATTGGAAAAGTACTACCTTGCATAATTACCTTTCAAAAAATCTTTTTAAACAGAATCAATACTTGACATGGACAATTGAGTTGAAGGTTTTCTTTGTTGTATATTGAAATGTAAGAGTTGTCTATATTTATGTTCTATCAAAAGCAAAAAACAAAACAAAAAACAACAACAACAAAAAATTGCAATTTGAAGTCAATTTAATGATATCAGTTGTTAAATTTCTTAATTTTGATATCGAAAAGTGAAAGGATACACAAATAATTTGATCAATATTTTTTACCAGATATGTTCCAGAAGGAAATATGACAGCATGTGGCACTGATTATCTTAACAAAGATTGGTTCAGTCGCAGTTACATTTTGGTGTACTCGGTGTTCGTATACTACTTGCCCCTTTTTACGATAATCTATTCATACTACTTTATCGTGAAGGTAAGACAATGTAACATTAATTGATTCGTAATGTTCCTGTTGTTAATCATAAATTGAAAAATTCGTAGAAATACATTTCAATACTGAGTAGTTTGTCCGTGTATTTAAAATTTGAGAAATCGAATCGCACGAGTCATAACGATAAGCGATCGATAGTAATCGAGGCAGTTTTCCCGCGAACATGAATGGTCAATATCCGGGGTGGTGCGCCGTTCAAACTCAGGAAGGTATATTTTTAATTTTAAGTTTTTGGAAATAGAAAATAAAATGTCTCTTCTAAATTAAGTTTAATATTTGTAGTGCTTTTCGACAAACGAAAGTACATATGACGATTGCATGGCAGCGAGACATTTTATTCGAACACACATGTTGACGGATAAGACCATTGATGCTATTTCGCGTGTATGAAGTGTTTACAGAATATTTGGAAATTGTACAGAAGACAGATTTGCACGGTGATGATTTCTACTTTTATAGGCAGTCGCAGCGCACGAAAAAGCTATGCGCGAACAGGCAAAGAAAATGAACGTCGCTTCATTGCGATCGGCTGAGAACGCCAACACCAGCGCCGAGTGCAAGCTGGCCAAGGTGAGTGTAAACGCATCTGCTCGTCTGTTGAGTGTTTAGATTTAGATTTATTTAGTCAAAAAACAGTAAAAACTGCGTGTGGCGTAAGGGGCAGAAAATGATCTGCGCAAGTTTTCTAGAATCTTTTTTCATCATTAGTTTAGTGATCGAAATTTAGAAAAGATGTGCACAAAAATATGTGTTGATCTTCAAAAGCAAACTATTCAGCTCTTTAAGTAAGTAACTTAAGGAAAATGTGTGATTCAGTGCCGAAGCTAAGCAATTTTGGGCCCAGGGCAATGTTGAAACGTATTTCTCTCCCCCCCCCCCGATTTTCTCGAGTTCTGATTTCTATTCCAATGTTTTACTTATTTGTTTTCCATCAGTCCCATTTTCGGGCCCCTTGACTTATGTGGCCCCGGGCAATCGCCTGGTCTGCCAATGCCTAGCGCCGGCACTGACATGATCTAATGCGAAAAATTTACTGTATGGTTTGGCAGCCTCTTGTGGATGTTGAAAGGACGCCGCACATAATTAGGATACAACGTAAGGGTTTTTTTTTAAAATAAAACGTAGTCTTGCAATACTTTGACGACAATAAGACGGTAAGAAATATCGAATGAATTGGATGCGTCTGAGAAGAATATTAGCAGACAATGAAGTAAATTGAACTCACATGAGTTAATGACTTGGATTCCATACCTATTTCATAAGTAGTTACATGGGTGTCTTTGAGTTTCCCATCATCACTCATGTATGGTTTTACCTCTATGCCTATTTGTCTGCTAGCAAAATAATAATTTTGGTGAAGTGATAAAAACTTTAACAGAGTAAAAAGTTCAATAAGTTCAGTAACGATGAAGTTCATGTATTATGTGGTAGTGTTGGCTTAGTGGTTTTATTGTTTTTGAAGGTTGCCCTGATGACAATCTCATTGTGGTTCATGGCTTGGACTCCATATCTCGTTATCAATTACATGGGTGTCTTCCAAGGAGCCAACATTAGCCCGCTGGCCACTATTTGGGGCTCGCTGTTTGCCAAAGCGAATGCAGTTTACAACCCTATCGTATATGGCATCAGGTGAGCATGTCTGATCAGAATAGCATTATAATTATTTTATTGTTACATCAGTTTGGAAGTTGGAACAGACAAAGCTTTAAAACTTAATTATGTATTCATTTTCATATGCACATTCTGAGTTGAAATTGTTGCTTTTGCTGTTGTAAAGACTGCTTGTATATTGGTTGCTCTGAAGGATTTGTTTCATAGTATGTAGAAGTAAGTATTTATAGGCTTGTGCAGAGAGGGTGGAATGAGGATGGCTGTGACCTCCTTAAAATGTTGAAAGAGGCCACAGCCATCTTACTTAATAACACCTGTCTTTTCATTATAAATGTTCATTCTCTGATTTTCCACACAACCTTACTTAATAAAACCTTTCATTTCATTATCAATGTTCATTCTTTGATTTTCATTTTTTTTTAACCTGATCATTTTGGAAAGTGTTACACATCATTTGGGGAAGTGGCTCTCTAAGCAATTTGTCTTCTTTGTTAATAGTTTAATATAAAAAATATTTATTAATTGTGTAATTAAAGTTATGTCATTCATCTTGAAGATTTTCATTTACTAGTAAAATATTTAATATTTTAATGGAAAAAGTTTAATGGAAAATGGGGTCAGAAATGTAGTAGACATCCTCCTCCGGTTTTAGGCTGCGCATACCTATGATGTTATTTGATGGCTTTGCTTCTTCAAGAGATCATGTAGAGAAGTTACTGTTGTACCCGCTTGACTTGCATGTAGTTGTCCAGGATTCACAATGTAAACTGCTTGCATCACTAAGTAGACTGAGATGGCTTCGTAAATTTATACTCCTTTATTCAGAAAAAAAATTGTTAATATCAAATCTCACTATTGTTTTATGGTTAGCCATCCAAAGTACAGAGCTGCTCTGAAAGAGAAGCTTCCTTGCCTTGTGTGTGGACAGACGGAGAGTCCAGAAACAACATCGCAAGCTTCAGCTGGCACTACCAACACAAATGCTGCTGAGAAGGCATAACATACCCAAAGAGATGTTTTTATGTACTTTCCTGAAACAAAGAGATAAACAATTTATTCCTAGCATTGAATTGACTTGTCTCATTTGCTGATTTAAATCCTTGATATCCATTTGACTTAAAGGTATATGTCCTAATGTTAGCAATATTATGAACATTGAAATAGAAATTACTGATTGAGTCCAAAAACAAGAGTATTTCAATTTTTAAAATTATGAGATTTAAATTTCTTGGTATAGGTGAACGAAAGAATGATCACTTAATCTCTTATTTTTTTAAAGGCAATTAACATGTCTGAGATCTATTGTGCATTCAATTCTTCTGTGGTTTTTATTATTATGAGGTTGTTGTTGTTATTATTATTATTATTATTATTATTATTATTATTATTATTATTATTATTATTATTATTAATTTGCAACTATTACAGTGTATGTAGCAGAAGTAAAAATATGACCTCTATGTGGTGCTGACCCTCTATTCTCAGTTTTTATGGAATGCAATAACTGTGGAATATTGGACTCAATAGAATAATTCATTTTTTGAGGTTCCATAAAATGAATGTCCCTTAACACCACCTTGCCTGAATAACATCATTAATTGGATGGATTTATTTGAACAAATGTTATGACACTTGCCTACATTATTTACAGTATTGAGGACTAGCCTTTTGCATTTGAGTTAGTCACTTGTATGGTGGGTTCACATTTTCAAAAATTAAAGATTGTGAAAAATTAAAATTACAAAACAACAACAATTAATTAATTAAATATGAATCATCAATGAAATATAATAGAATATCTTGTTCAGAAATGAAAGTGAAAAAAGTAATTATGGAGTATAGTATTGTCATATCTTGAAAATTACTGAAAATTATTTTACAACCAGCTCTCAAGGCTCTGCTGTACCCAGTGCCATGGTAATGTATGGTCCTAAAGGATCTGGGCCCCAGGCCCTTAAAGTTCAAGGCCCCAATAGTTTTTAAAACAACCTTAAAGATAATTCTTGCAAAAAAGAAAAATTTTAAAAATGTATAAAAAGGTGAATATGATTAATCTATATGCAAAAAATTGACATTACGGAGTGATGTGTCAGGGATTGTTGGATAGTATCTATTAAATGGAATGTGTCTGATTGACACGGGAAAGTCATTCAGTGAAGAAAAGTTGACATTTTTTAAACAAACTTGTTGTTGTTGAATTTGTAGTCTTTTTCAATGAAATTATAAATCTGTTATTCTTTCTTACTATACATTAAAGATTATATATAGCATTTAATTGTTTGTATAATATTTAAAAAAATACAATATAAATTGACAGGATTTTCGTACTCAAGGGGGGGGGATTGATGCAAGTAAGAATAAGGGGCCCTCAAGTTAACCTAGGCCCAAGGGCCCCCAATGCTGTTAAAACGGCCCTGGCTACACATGGGCCACACAAGCAAAGAATAAAAATGTGATTTGTTAAGTGAATACATAACCTACATTGGACTAAATCAAAAGCTCTCTTCTTCCCCCTCTTCATCACTTTATTTTTCTTCCCTCTTTCACTTTTTTTTCTCGTTTCTCTTCTTTCATCCCTCTCTTCCTCTTCTCATCCTAATTCTCCTCCTCTACGTCCTCCTCCTCCTCCTCCTCCTCCTCCTCCTCC